TGTGTGTGTGTGTGTGTGTGTGTGTGTGTGTGTGTGTGTGTGTGTGTCTCCCCCGAGGCTTTCAAAATGCCCCACATCGATTTCCTCTCCCCTCTCCCTTGCTATCATCTTACGTTTTGCCCCACAGCACACGTTTAGACACACACTCACAAAGCGACTTGCATGCACACACATGCACGCCCACACACATAAATACACACCTAATCTCGGCCCTCTCACTGGTGCAAAAACTGTATCTGCTACAATCCCGTCAAGGTATGAAATAACTAGCATTAGGCCAGAATAGCATAGCTGTGCCATTGCAGGAGCTCAAAACACACGCATGACCTTGTACAAAACACACGTTACTGTGAACTCAGAGGACTCAAAGCCATCAGGTGGACACTTTTCCTCTTTGAATCTTAATAACATAGACAGATTTGAGATATAGAAGACATATTCTGAACCATGTGAACTGGACTGGTAACAGGATTGGGGACAGATAGAAAGCTCCCTAAATACAGAAAGGCTTGACTTCTGGGGTGCTCTGTGGCTCAGTGGAAAGTATGTATGTGCCATGTTTTTACAATTACTGCAATTACAGTGATAGTCTTGCCCAAAGGTTATAAACACTTTCAGTCTGGCATCCAGCTGGGAAATGCTCTTTCCCACTCGGACATCGGCTTATAAATTTGTGTTATTGCCTTTTTTTATGTGAAGACCAGACTGACACAAAGTTTACATCTGAAGTTCAGCACTATGCATCTCGAGCTTTCGAAAGTTGTCAGATGCCTCTATGACTTGTAAAGCAATATGAAGTTATCTACTAAATAGAAAAGCAAACCAGCCACCACTACAGACATTTTTCAGACTTTTCTTCAAAAACTGTCACATGGGAATATTTATCTCACTATATCTGTTCTGTGTACACATTAAGAACATTAAGAAGCACTCAGGATTCTTTGGATTGTGGGCATGCATGTTTTTTGCTGATAGCATAAACAAGGTTTTATTTGAAGAGTCTTTTCTTGTCACAAAGAGATGCATCGCTTTTGAGAAGTTGCTTTAACTCTTCACTGTTCCGGCCGTCCTAGGGATGGAGAACACAAAGCAAAAGACTAACAAAGCAAATGAAACAAACAACAAAGATTGAGCAAGTATAACAGAAAAGAGGTCACAGAGAAAATACACTGCCAGCCATCTGAAGAAAGCTGAAAAACTACAAAGTGAAACTTCACATTAGACAAAACACACACACACATATATGCACAGCCACACAAGCAGTGAGATTTCACATAAAGACTGAAGCATAATTTAGCTCCTTAAGCCTACATATTAAAAGATTAATAGAAAGCGAAGAGAAAAAAATATTTTTCTCTAGGCTAACTAGGTGTGTCTCACACACAAAAACCTACGTTATGTTGACACTTCTATCATCCATCACAGCTATTTAAATAGAGGAGGCGAGCTCTGTGCTCTGAGGGTACTTAAGTTTTCATACCTGCCTGTGGACGGAGTATAAAAAAGAAAGTTGGAGGGCATCCATCTTGCTTTGCAGTGCTGCTTAAACAACACAGAAACAATCAAACACACACTCACATGCCGTCCGGCGTTGCTATAGCAGCATTGCTATAGCTTTGTTTCTATTGGGGTATTCTGATATATGTTTGGCTTTCTTTCAACATTTCAAATAACTGATGGCGCTCCTCCCTACCCTTCAGACTTGCTCCCTGCATAGAGACGTCATTAATTCAGTGTACTAAAACCTGTCAGAGGGCTTACACTCTGTGGCTCACTGTGTTGTGTTTTGTGGGTTGTTGAATGTTTAAGCGTTTGCAGAGCCTATAGGTTAATGCACATCCAGACAAGCTTTTGCTGAGATGATTTCTGGTGTACTTGCATCTCATCTCAAGCGGAAGGGATAATGTCTGCAAGAAAGGGATCAAGGAAGGAAGGAATGAAGGGGATAGGGGGGGGGGGCAAAGTGACTGATTCATAAGGGATCGGTGAGTGCAAGAAACCAAGCTTAATATGAAGAAACAAAATAACAAACACTGAAGAAATTAAAGAATGGAGGAAGTAGTATAGAGGGAAAGGAGGAGAGACACAGGGGACTGTGGGGATGCTGGAAAGAAAAGAAAGAACAAGCAAACAAAAGAACAAAGACAACAGAATAACTATTTGTGTCGTGTACACTGGAATCAAGAGTTTGAAAAATGGAAGAGGAGTGAAACAGATAATTAGATAAAAGTTATATGAAAAGGAGAAAGGGGCTCGGCATATTGATTGGGCAAAGGGAAAAAAATGTTTGTTTCCCAATTGACCGCTACATAAAATGATCCATTCTAATATCTGAGCCTAATGAAGCTATAATGGAGCAGTAATATATAAATCTGTGAAGTAGTTATTCATCATCTCTAAGACTGCAGCACACTGGTGCCAGTAACCACCATATGGCACCACCCAGAATACACAGCTTTTATACAGCGGCCTCACAGTAGTACCACATTAAGGAAAGAGTCAAATTGGGTTTTAATTTGACAATTGCAAATCATCTTTCCAGCAGCAGAAATAATACCCTCATTGTTTTCATACTGTTGCTTCGTTCCCTTCATAGGTCAAGGCAAAAATGATTCCTTTGACATTTTGCAGTGACAAGCATTAATTAAACACCTTTGGTCCACACATTATGGAGCATATGTTGTCAGAAACGACGTATAATAATAACTCTAATAATAAAATGGTGGATCCAAACCAACAGTGTCTTCCAGTCAGGAAAGAGAAAAGCTACTTAGCTTTAATATATGTAAAGCTGTATAATATCTAGTATGACCAGTTAGTTGTGTCTCAAAATAACATTTCAAATGTCTCGTCATGTGGACATAATTTACGACTGTGTCAAGTTGAGAGAGGGGTTGAAATAAGAACACACACACGCACTCTTTTTCTGGGATTACACACACACACACACACACACACACACACTGTTTACAGATTGATCACTGTTCCCTACAGAGTTCAAATCCATCAGATAGTGATCTCACCAATGCAGTAGCAAAAACATCTGGAATGAACAGGTGGTAGGTGGAAACACACGCCCACACACACACACACACACTGTAATTCAGAAATATTGATGAACATTTGACCTGCCATAGTCATAAAAGGTATAACAGTGCCCCCTGTTGTTCTGTTGAAATGTTAGGCTACTGAACTGCAGAGAAGCAATCAACTTTATGGCATTTCCATCAAAACACACACACAAATCCACTTACTCTAAGATGATGAAAATTAATGAAAAACAAGGCCATCCTGCGCTCATTTTTCATTAATTTTCCTTCTTTTTGTTCATCAACACACTCTCTTCGTCATTTATCTTCAAATGTCTCTCTGTTTCTTCTCTCTCTTTGGCTTTCATCTCCCTAAAAAACTAGGAAAACTTCTAAAAGTCTAGAACAGAAAAAAAAACATGAAAACTGCTGTGATACAACTGCATGCCATGCAAAACCAACAGTTCCTGGCATCTATCGACTGTCTGTGAGATTAGTCCTGTCCAAAGCTGTGAGCAGTCGTGTATTGCAAAGCTGAAATCTATACAAGCCAAATGAATCGCCTTGAAGCAAATGAGCCATTAGATTAGAAATTGAATGCATATTTACCTGCAGAGAGGACTATGACAGAACAGAGTTTTGGGGTTTTAGAAAGTTGTGATGTTTGCTTTATGTGGTTTGACATTCGACTTCGGTAGCTAAGATTCCAGGAGAATTGACTCTTTTTTTCACACTCTCCATGCAGCTCCTAAAGTCATCTCCTTCTCCTTTGACGTCGGAAACGGACCGGTGGAGTTGACGGTACATTCGGCCGCGCCCCTCAATGACGACCAATGGCATCGCGTGATGGCCGAGCGAAACGTCAAAGAGTCAGTCCTTCAGTTGGATCAGACATATCGGGCGTCTCAGCTTGCTCCTGCTCAGGGGCACACACGGCTAGAGCTGTTCAGCCAACTCTACGTGGGTAAGACACACACACACTCCCCCACACAATCCAAACAATTAACAGCGCTCATGTGTAAGAATGACTCATGTACACACATTTGATTGCAATTTCAGCATTTAATATCCGCTTTGTGTAGAAGGGACACTCACAGAGACAAACACGCCATAATTGCGAGCTCTTATGTGTGGAAGGCAAATGCCTAAGTACACATCAATAGTGTAACCGTACTTTGATTGACTTAATAAATATTCTGTGCTGTCTTTATTTCTAGTAATGTTGCCCTCAGATGCGGACATCCACTGTGAGGACGTCTGATTGTTTCAGAAGTTAAAGGCGTGGCAGCTTTTACTTGAAATCACTGGGTTGTCTCATAAAGAGGCTTCAGTCCATCTTCGCCACAAACAGTGCTAATTAAATTCATAATAATCCAGAACACACACACACAGCCATTTCACATTTAATGATTTGCACACATGAGCACACACGCACATCCTCAGAAATTAATCCATGTAAGTGATCTTGATAAAGTTAAAACTGAGCCTCTGTGCTGGCTGTGAGGGTGTGTGACTAAAACTAACTTAATTCACTTATAGAGGTCATTTCTTCTATACTTTAATACTTTGGCTCATTTATATTGCTGTGGATTAAGAAACTATTATTGCACAAGGACGATATCAACCCTTTGGCTTTTCCTATTCCTGCACACACATTCTGTACCAGACAGATCAAGCCTTATTATCACACCAATTATGCCTACATTTTTTTAGACGTCTGGTTAGTTCCCTTCATCCTCCTCTCCGAACAATGTGTCTCAAGCTCATCAGCAGTTCACATGGCACAAGATATGTCCAGTTTTCCTCTTATTCTTTTACATCTCTGTATCACGCTGCCTTTTGTGCTGAGCTGTCAATATGCTATGAACCAAACTCTTGGGCTAAAATAGTTTCAGGGATTTGCGGATAGAAGGAAAACTGCTGAGGCGGATCACAGAAGTCTTACTATCTCATGGAAAAAAAGTTCTGCCCAAAGGAGATTCTTCCAAATTCCAATCAGGCATCCCGATGTGATAGCCTCAACCCCCTGATCCCCGTTTATAATATAATTTCACTGTCTCATCACTTCTGCTGATCCGAACGCTGCTGAAGCCTCCTCACCTTATCATGTCCCAATTTGTCTCTCAGTATATTTCTACTTTCGTTTAGTCAACCGAAAAGGTGCGAGAAAAGGTTTCGTTGCAGTGCGACTGGTGACTTTGAAACCGGGAACAAAATGGCTTCCAAATAGCGCCTCGGCCTCATTTGCATGTGTGTACTCTGTCTTTTTTTGTCGAAGGAAGACAGGAGAAGCCTCAGGCCTGCTCTGTGTGGCACACATCTAAAAACACAAGCGATAGTGGAAGACAGAGATAAAGCAGGGAAAGACTTGTATGTAACAACAGCCATAGAGGTGTCAGCACCTTCTCATATCTGATTTCTAATCCCTGCTTAATCCTCATTTGAGGAATGCTTTAAGAAGTTACAGAGGAAGTGACCCAGTCACTAAAGGGAAGTGGTTTAGATTTGTTCTCTGACACTAAGCGTTTGATTTGGAATGTGTGGGGAGAGCCCCACAGGCGTCAGGATGTTGTCTGAACAGATTCTTCCCCTGTCACTTCACACATCGTCTCTGATTGATATTGATGCAGCCGTTTGAAAGTAGTGAGGTAGAAAAAAAAACAATGCAATCCAGAGACCTAAAAAAGGAGTTCAACAATGATGTTGTGATCTGTTTGTATGATTTCACATAATCTCGTATTATTGAAGTACAACAGGGAGCTTTATTTTGCCCACCTTGTTCTCATATCTGTGGCCGTATCAGCTCCTTCTCTCTCTTTCAATCAGTATGCTCCTCATCAAGCATTTGATTACTTTAGTGTTTACTGCACAGTGGCTCATTTGCTCTAATGGCCCTGAGAGTAAATGTTATACCATCAGCCTGCTGTCATTTCCTTCACACTGTTAACTTTTAGCTCTCCAATTCACTTCATACATGCACGTAACGATCAATCTTGCCACATTTTATTAATTTAATGCCGCCATCTGTTCTTTTGATTCCCATCTTGATTAATGCTCACCATCATACCTTTTTTTTAAAAATGTTTTTGCATGTTTTTTGCTCAATTCTCTCATGGTTGGATTGTTTTGTCTTTCTTTTCTGCTTTGGTTTTTCTGTCTTCCCGGATCGACGTCTTGTTGCTTGTTTCTACTCACTGCATGTGTGCGACACCTGTCACAGGGAAGCCTGCCTCGCTCACCTGCCAAGACAGTAGGTAACATTTAATGAATATAATGAAATGTCTCTGTGACATTGATGCAGACAAAACGTCTTCAGTTTTCACAGTACACACAAACGGGAATGCAACGGACCTCGCAGATCAAACAGAGTGTGTTTGGATCGGATTTTGCAGCAGCTCTACACGAGTTGTGATTAAAATAAAGCCTTGATTAATCTTTTAAAATGTAACTTCTTATGCACTCATGCTGCTACTTTTTTGATTCATGCTCTACATTAACACAAATTTATGAGGAATGCCTGTAGATTCAGCCTTATTGCAATACACAAGTATATTTTCCATGCAGTGATCCATCAGAAGCAAGCCCATTATGGACCTCTAAGAGAGATAGTCGGGGAAAAAAGACATTGCTGTAAACTAACAGATATCAACCACTGGGCTGGTAAAATGGGATTTCTATGATAATATCATCTCCTAGGTTAGGAAGGCTTTTGAATCAAAAATACTCATCTAAAATCAAAACAAATTGCATCTTAAAGTGCATCCCCAATAAACATAGAGTGGGCAAACACTGTTTTGGGGATCTCAGTGCTGAAGAGCAGACAGACTTACAGGAGGAAACAGCACATACCACCATTCTATTAAACCACTCGTACAATGATAATGGAAGAACAGCAGGGCAGCAGATGTGCAGCCAGTTGGTGTAGATGGGGACTCAATTTGCATTGTAGGATCAGGCTTAAAATAACACACATGTTTACATACATAAACATGCACACTGTATGTCCATTCTCTTAACTCCATACAGTATTTAAGTGCATACAGCATTTTCATTCATTCATTTTGTCAGTAGAGTATTACCCTGATATTAAAGAAAAATAAAAATCTATCATTGGCAGCAAGAAAGGATAATTTATTTAACGGAAAAATTAGATGAACACATAGAACAAAATATATTTACCTGAAGTAAGAATGACAGCACACATACAAAAAAATGCAGTCTATAAAATATTGCTGCAATTTAGTGCGCAGCAATACAGTTTTACCTTTATGCCACCATATTTACCAAAACATGTATTTCTGTGAGAAGCCAATGTTGACTTCAGTCAGTATCAGTCAGGCTCTATTACACACCATTTGTGAGTTGTACAGAATCTGTATGCACCTGTGTGTGTGTGTGTGTGTGTGCGTGTGTGTGTGTGTGTGTACCTGTGTACGTGTCCGCCCTGGTCTCTGCAGGCCTCAGAGCCTGCTGTCCATTCAATCAGAGACTGATTTAGACCTGGGTAAACAGGTGGCAGAAACCTCCAGCCAATCAGTAGTACAAAATAGATTAATTAACAGGTCTGCTAAAAGTCAAACCCTTTGTGGGAATGGAAAGTAGAGAAAGCGTGTGAAAGCCCTGCTGCATCCTGATGTGTGAATAATGTATCGGCTGGAGAAAATCAAAGTACATGTATTAGTAATCTTATTAGATCTGCGTTGTAACTGTTCGGCTAAGCCAGCAGATGTGTGTATGTGGGAATGCAGCTGTTGAGGGGGCAATCCGAGTGTGTGTTGAAGTCTCCTTAACACGTCTTCTTGAACGAACGCTTTTCTATAATCCAAAGGATGCAATTGAGAGGTTTTAATAACTAAAATGCCCCTCGGCTCTTGTTAATGACAGTGTGCGTGAGTGTGCGCCCATACTCGTGTACTTATCCATACAGTGTTACCGTCCTCTGTGGGTGTGCATTTGTACGCTTGAATATGTACCTGTGGGTGCATGTTTATGAGTGTGTTTATTGCTATAGTCATTTAGGTGCACATTAATCTATTTAACACCCCTACTCTGTCCAAGTTAATGGGTAGTTAGACTGCAATGGTGCAGGGCCAGAATGACGATGGAGGCGCTTTAGAGGAATGGCTATCGACAGCCCAAGGCTAAGCATTAATGCTTGTATTGACTCATTCGCATCAGGTGCGCTGTGTGTGGTGTGTTTGAAATGTGCGTGTGTTTGTCTGTAGTATGTAGTTTATGCGCATTCATGCATCCATTTGCGTGTGTATACTTGTGAGATGTTCATTAAGACACAGTGTTCATTAGGCTGTTTTAATTAGTGAAGAAATCAAACGAGTTGAAGGTTGTTCCAAGAACAGCGTCGCAGTCGGAACGATTAACGTGACATGAGCGGCTTCCTCCAGGCGGTAGGATATTAACGTTCCTATAAAGAGATTAAAACAGCCTCTTACATTCAGAATGACTTCTGTGACCCTGACTTCCATTTGGCCTTCTTTGTATTTGTTTTTTGTCCTATCTCCGAATGCTACATCTCCTTGCTACGCCGATACCACCACCCCTCTCTTCCTTGCTCCTCAGGTGCTGCAGGGGGGCAGAGGGGGTTCCTGGGCTGCATCCGAGCCCTCCGGATGAACGGCATCACCCTCGACCTGGAGGAGAGGGCCAAGGTCACGCCGGGGGTCAAGCCCGGTTGCCAAGGCCACTGTACCAGTTTTGGGATGTACTGCCGGAACGGAGGGAAGTGTGTGGAGAGGTATAATGGCTACTTGTGTGACTGCACCGCCACTGCCTATGACGGCCCGTTCTGCACCAGAGGTGAGAGACATTTTCAGTGTCCTATTGTTGGTCGATCATGGGACTATGAATGCCTCAAATGCATCATGCTGCTCTTCATCTTTCAAGCTTCAATTGCAAGACAAATCAATCCCTCTTCATGTGGGCTTTCAGGAACTATTTTATGTCCGATTTTATTTTCTCTTTGACGACACTGCGGGGTTTTTTGCAATTCCCTAGTAGCAGATAAATTATTGTTTTATTTCCTTTATTCCTTCCTCAAACCTAACAAACTACCTTTCTGCTCCAAATTGTAGGATGACACACTGAGTCATTATCTGTCAGCGTACACTTTTCCAGTAAGTTTTACGGGCATCTTTGTGAAGCCACGTTATCATTGGCATCGTCCCTCTTTAGTTCACAAAGCCAGAGGCAAATAGCGCCATGATTACTGCTGGAGTAGTTGTGTTTCAATGAGCGTCATTGCCTGACAACCCACTGTGGTTTTGGTTGTGCTCTGTGATTGTCCTCACTTCCTATTCAATTTGCAGCTGTCGGTGTTGAAAGTGTTCGGGCTCATGATAAAAGGCATCGATTGAGAGTGATATTGTGCTTACTCACCAATTCTCCCGGACGTAAGAGTGCACTCACTGACTGCTGAAACTGTGCAAATGCAGAGCTGAGAGATCAAACTAAAAAACAAAATGCAAGTCACTTCACTAAGCGGTGGGTCAGCTCTGCTCCTGCACTGTTGCATATTGCTACAACATCATGTTTGTTTCACAGGGATTCATTAGATGCAGCATTAAAGTTCCCAAAACAAGTTTTCATAAAATGCTCTGGGGAGAAGAGCAGCAGTGCTGTCAGAGGCTTTCCCCTAGCTCCCAGTCAGAGAGTTGATCCCCGACACGTGAATTAATTTGTTTCCTAAAGCCTAATAGTGTTTTTCCCCGTGCTCTTGGCAGGGGGGGAGGGGGGGTGACAAGATGACAGAAAAGCGAAGTGGGTGTGTGTCTGTGTTTGTGTGTGTCTTTGTGTGTGTGTGTGTGTGTGTGTGTGTGTGTGTGTGTGTGTGTGTGCCTGGGAAGAGGGTAACAGTGTGTGATGATATGCTAGTGTAAAACATGAGAAGACCTCCTTTGAATCCTGTCATGACCAATCAGGATTTAGAGAACAGAGATTACTGTCTGTGCGAGGGTGTGTGTGTGTGTGTGTGTGTGTGTGTGTGTGTGTGTGTATATGTGTGTGTGTATTAGTCGGTCTGTGCTCGTGTTAGAGAAAAGAGAGAGGCAAAGAAAGGGAGAGAGCACGGCTTTGTGTCTGTTTGTTCCTGTGCATGACATGTGACTTTTCTTCTCTCCTGTCTCCTTCTGTTCTTTATTTTCACTCATCTGTACTTCCAGTCTTCCAGTCTTCATCTTCTTTGTATTCTTTATTCTCTCCTCCTTGTGTTCCCCTTTTCCACTCGCTCTTCACACATCTGCCTTATTTTTCCTTGTCTTCTCTCATCTCCTTTCTATCTCCTTTCACTTTTATCTACGATTCACTGCTTCCTCTTCTTGCTTCGCTTTGTGCTACTGTCCAGCTAAAATATTTTCTTTTCTCTCTTCTGCTTCTCCATTTTTTTCTTCTCCTCGACTGCCTCTTTACTTTACCTATTCCCCTTTACACTTACCTTTGCCTTTTTTTTCTACTCTCCCAGTTGCCCCTCTCCTGTTTGCTTTTTCCTTTTCCGAACTTCTCCCCCTCTCTCCCCATCCTCCAAGCGAGTGAAAAATGCATGAAGCCAGCCATAATTGCATAGTGCATTTCCATTGTATCCATATTTACACACTGCTCACGGGACCCCACAGTATTATTATTATACACTCTCATTCTTCTGCTTTTCTGCCCTGGAGGGTCACACGGAGCCAATGTGCACATGTACATACATATACATGGACACGCACGCACACATTCGTAGATACCTGTAGAGGTTTGCATGCTTGCACAAATTCCCTTTCCAAAACTTCTTCACACACTGACATAGAATACACACACATAAAGAGTCCCTGCCCTGGAGTGGAGTTTTCTCATTCACCCTTGTGCTTCCAGACAGTTTTTTGTGTGTGTGTTGCTGCTGAGGCTCTGGGCAGCAAATCAGAATCTCTCTTCTTTTTTTTCAGGAGGGCAGAGAAGGCTAAGACAGGTTACACAAAGGCCCCACATAATAAAGACGATGAACAAACTAAAATCCTAACCTTTACCCCATTAACGGATTATTTAAAGTGTTAAGTCCTGCCTTTTCTTCAGGCTTATAGTTTTATCTCCGGATCAGGCGGCAACCTCTGTATGCTTTAGGGCGGGGCTACCTTGTGATTGACAGGTTACCACGGCGTTGTCCAGTCTGAGAGTTGTCAGAGTTTTCATCTTACAATTCTAACCCTTTCACAATGTGTTTTCAGTTGGTGGAAGTTAATTGTAACCTTTTTGGTTCCCAAAACAAATCTCTTATTCGGCGTTCGGTTGTAGCGTACTTATCTAGGTTAACGTAATTGGATATTTCTCACTCACTTTACAATGCACAATGCCATTTACTCTGAAACATTTATAGATTAAACAAAGCTGCATTTAGAGAGAATTCACAGTCTGCTGGCTTCCTAACATGATAGTTTTTTTAAGCTGGCTAACTAACTCATATGACACGTTTAGAGTAAAAGACGAAGCTAATGTGTCATTTCTGACCTGACACTTGATAAATGTAATGTAAGAAGCAAAGGTTTTTCTGTGACGTCCTTTGTCCATAGATATTGAGGCTTGTTATGTTGATTTGATTTTTCATATATTGTTTTGTAACACTTTTAAGAATTTCAATCAAGCATGCTGCTCCGACAGAAATACTGCATTTTGCCTGATTCAAAATAATGCCCTGCAGCATGGATCTTGGCAGAACAATGCAGCTGCATCAGAAGACGAAGTGAGAAGCAGGCTATTTGAAAACTTCACACGCTCTTCGCTTGGTTAACGCAGAACAATTGGTAAAATGCATCTCCCCAGACTTCCAAAGCTCGAAACAATATCAGTGCACAGCAGAATAGAGGACAAAATCGCCAGCACCAGTCAGAGAACTTTCCTATTTTCTAGTAATAAGTCTTGTATTGAATTGAAGTAATGTAGCTTGAAGTATTTTGTCCGGCGGGAGACGATTGGTGACATGAAGCTTTAAAATAAGATGCATAAATGTGTTCACTTAGTATCCTTCACTCGTAAGAGGCGTAGTTCTACATTTTCTCTGCTGCCACGCTGGGAAGGCGAACATGTCAAGAAACACTCGATGGCATTTACACGCACACGCACACGTACACGTACACACACAACCCAAGGCTCATTGCTTTCCCTGGAACCATTTTCTTTAATTTCACGCACACCGTGCCTTTTTTTTCAACCGTAACTAACATAGTGCATTGTGCTTGCCTGCACATACACACACACGTAAACGCAAACAAGAGCAGAACACGAGCATTGAAAAAATAATGCCCCATCTTCTCAGCACTTGATTACATGAATCAATAAGCCTCCTGGAATGGCTGGAGTATGCCATTAGGTCTGTTAATGTACTGGCAAACAATGTATTGTTTGGTTTCAGATGCCGGAGTACAGCAATTTAACACCCACTTTACTACACCTCCTGAACACAGCCATATTTATGTGTGTGCTTTTTTCTCTCTCGCCATTTAATATGTTTACCCTGTTGTGTCTCGTCATGTGTGAGTTTATGTGCGGTTCCCTGTGGCTTTATTTTGATGGAAAGGGATTTTATGCGTGGCCGGGGGTATTGTTCTCGAGTCGCTCATACTTCCATCCATCTTGTGAAGGTGATATCTCAGGAATGTCTTCAAATTTTTCATCCTGATTAGATTTCGGTGGTCAAAGGTCACTGTGACATCACATCTGTTCCATTCTCATGAACGCAATATCTCTAGACACGTTTTTTGGCCATGACTCAAGAATTAAAATGCTAATTATGACAATTTCTCACAAATCTCTATAACATAAAATGAAGAGGTGATGACATTTTGGACAGACATGGATGTAATCTGCACCTTGATTGGTAGGCGGAGACATACGACCGTGGGGCGATAATCGTAGTTCTTTTCTTTCTTTCTGTCTTCCTTTTTCATTCTTCCCTGTGTTTTTATGCATAGATTCATCTATAATATGATAATTCTAGTATTAGCGTAAACACATTGACAAGCGTTTATCGTATTTGTTTGTGTACACCCACTTGTCTTACATGTGTGTTAATATGTTTTTCTTATTTACTTCTCTCCTCTATCCCAGATGTTGGGGGTTTCTTTGAGGCAGGAACATTAGTCAAGTACAACTTCATGCCTGAAGCAGTTGCAGGAGCCAGCAGGGATGCAAAGATCCTGACGCACCAGCTGACACCACATGAAGTGAATCTAACAAAGGAGGAAGTGGCCTTCAGTTTCAGCACCTCCAACGCTCCAGCTATTCTGATGTATGTCAGCTCCAAGACGCAGGATTATTTGGCTGTGGTCTTAAGGCAGAATGGTAAGCTACACACACGCACACACACACATGCAATATATGGCGGCTCACCACTGAGAAGTCTGCACAGAGTAATGCTTGTTAGTGTGACAAAGTACATTTTCAAAGACTGTCCTTGCAGCACAGTTTAGAAAGTTCTATAATCTTCAAAAATCCTCTCCAGTCAGCGGCCTCCCACTGAGAATTGGGGCTGACAGGCAGCGAAGTGCTTCGATTAAATAAAGTTAAAAAAAAATTGGCAGTGCCATCTAGCGTTTCACAAATCAATGTGCACAACCACAAAAATAGAACTACAAAATACTCACACTGCCTAGGGGTGCTGCTATAGATTCTTGGGCCCCCTGCTCACTCAGGGCCTAAAATAGTCAATATCTATAATCCCAGTCACAGTCAAGCTGTGGGCCCTCTGAATCATTCAGGGTTTCACCCTCTATTCATCACCCTCACATTTTGGCCTTAAGTCCAGTTCATTCAGAGTACTTGTGTAGGAAAACAAGTGGGTAATGAACAAAATGAATTACAAAATGGCAAGTCTTTAGTGTCATCAATTAGTAATACACTAACTACTTATGGATTTTTCAGCAATCGTGATTTATGCAGCCAGTCCTTGAGAACTATTTAGAAAATTCAATGTATTTATTCAAAGCATCAGAGCTTCAAAGTCAGTTTTTTCCCCCCAGGCAGTTAGACAATTGAACAGCGAGCACTTTGAATGACTCACAGGGATTTATTATTGTAGGATTTCTTCTTCTTCTTGTCTTTTATGCATTCTTATGATATACAGTTTTAAGGGCTTACCGGGCCAGGGAAAGTGCATTCCATTGCATTTGCATGTACGATTGTACTTTTTAATGTATATGGCAATAAACTAAAACTTGAACTTCGGGTACTTATTGATGAGAGCTCGCGCTTCAACCGTTGTAGAGAAGTGGGAAAGAAGAGATGGTCTGGTCATATAACCAGACCAGGTTTCAAACCACTGGCCTGTATGTCTTCAGGTTCACTACAGGTCCGGTATTACCTGGGAGGTCTGAGGGAGCCATTTTCCATAGATGTGGACCAGCGTAACCTGGCCAACGGACAGCCACATAGCATTAACATGTCCCGTGTCGACAGAAGCATCACGATCCAGGTACAGACCACACACACACACACACATCTGACCACTCTCAAACACATATTTTAGGCTTTTAGTTGATGCTCAGAAGTCAAAAGACTCACGCATCAATTTCATGGTCCTACTTACAAGCAAAGAAGGAGAGCATCCAACACTCGCATACACGACGCCCAGCCACTATTAGTATTAAGTCAAATGGGAGAGCAGTGCCCTGTTCTTTTTTCTGCTGTGATGAAAGTGCTTGTCCTCTGCCACTGTTAATCCACTTCCACTAGACAGCCTAAGTATAGCAACAGAGAGAATGCATCGATCTGTGTGTGTGTTGTATGACTGCAGACTGTGGTGTTATTGGGGCTGCGTATGTTTTGTGTATTTGGCGTGCGTGGATGCGTGTGTATGAGACGCAGCAAGAGAGACTGACCGTGTATGTGCTTGTGCATGACAATGTGTTTGCGCACGTACATTTGTGTGTATCTGTGGTCATGTGCGGGTGTTTTTTTTGTTGGCTCTTGCGTTTTGTGCAGCTAAACAGCTTAGTGCGGATCAATACAGCCGAGCTTCAGTCAGTAGCTGTCAAGGATGGAGTGAGAATTCAGCTAAACTATTACAGACGTTGTTCTGTGCTAAAATGCTCCAATTTGGCTGCAGGCTGCAGTTTAAGGGGGACTCAATGGATGGCAGTGGCTTGTAAAACCTTGTTACTGGTTTCATCCAGATCAGGATAAATGTGTAGTTGCATGGTTTGCTTTTTCTTATTTGAGAACCAAAAAGGAAAATGATAAAAGTTTGAATTCTTCAATTGAACAGCTACATTACAGTTTGTGCATGCATGGCCTCCTGTAGAATGTGTAATTTGAATACCTTGTTTGCACATCATGTTTTGTGCCATTATTGCTTGCAAATGGCATACATTGTAGGATTTACATAGTTCAGCCATTTCATACAGTATGCGTCCCTAAACATCCAAAGAGTAACTCAATCATATGCTCACTATCTACCCCCTAGTGGCCAGAGGGAGGCATTGCATTAACCCGAGCCATTGACTCATCTCCTGTCCGCAAAATGAGGGTGCAGACAACTGTGTGGAGAGCATCATGTCCATTATTTTGTATAGCCTTGTTCTTACTGATATTTCAGCTATTTGCTTACATTCTGGCCTGTTTATTCTCTTTGGATTTATTGATCATGCTCAGAGAATCTTCTCTATCGTCGTATCCACGGTGTCCTCATGGATTACTTTCCATCCATGAGGCACTTGACCTAGGTCTGCATGACCTCTATTTCAGAAATTATTGTAGAGAAAAAGATGTACCTTAACACCATATATATTATTAATTTAAAATATTTATGTATAAAATTAATAATAACAATAACAATAGACCATAGATGTAATTTGACAAAGCAACCAACCACTGCGTTAATAACATTAGAACAAATTAAGTATGAATAAGGAGAATGACAATAATATATATGAATCAACATATTTGTAGGATGTTTAATTTATTCTTTTTGAACATAGAAGTAAATTAATGAAACATAATATTTGACAAATGAGATTCAAATGTAAACATAATGATGAAGAAAATCTCAATGAGGTTTTTATTTTCAAAGGACGGGTTTGTCTCTTGCATTATACTGACACAAGATAAAATATAGTTGAGTCCATAAAGCACGTGGTTGACGGTGAATATATGATTAGTTGTGTTCTTTCTAATTGGCTATCGTGTCAGGATGTCACCGTCTCTTTTGATAAATACAAATGTAGCTCCTTCACTGTTGCTTTCATTAAGGTGTTGGCCAGACGGTACATTTGACAACCAATAATCATTACATCTCCTCTTCTACATAAGTCTTTATCCCTTTCTGTATCTCATTGCATGTAGAGCAATGAAAAACTGTGGCAGGAAGAAAATTGAAAACTGAAACATCCTTTGGAAATCGTCCTCATTTTCTGAGAAAATCACATCCTGCAGCTGCTGATCACCCCAGTGGGAGCACTTCAACACAACACACCCCCTTTTTACTGGTGTGGAGAGAGATTGGAGCAGCAGACCACTTATTTGCTTATTACAAACACATACATGCATGCACACACTGTGTGCTCCACTGGTTGATCATTGCCTGGTTGTGTTGAGATATTGTGTTCATCCCAGTGTTCAGTGTGTGACTGAAATACTAACGATCAATAGCCCCAGTTTACCACTCCCCATGTGCTCAGGATGTAGGCTACTCTAATAACAATCCGTTGAATGTTTTTCTCCTTAATTGATAGGTTCACCACCTAAACATTAGCATGGGAACTGAGGGGGTCGGATGTAGAGAGGAAATAGATTAAGTTGATAGATAAGGCTTGAAAAGTAGAGCCAGAAGGTGTGCTAACGAAGATTACTTTGATGAGTACAACTTTCATGTTGCCTGACTGCCTCTGGGCTCTTTTCAAGGTACAAACATGCCCTTAATATCCATGGGTAAACAGATGTGGACATGCATACCAACAGACAGTCTGGTCAACTCACTACAAAGACTTGCCATACTTCAAAATTCATAATTATTCAGTATAATTCATCTGTCCACTACACTGCTCTCCTTCTACCTCACCATTCCTCCTACCTTCTACCTTCCCACATCCTTGAGGGCTTTTAGCTATAGTTCATTTATCTTTGGCCAGAAACCATGACTGTAGCTCACACTCACATGAATGAGTTGCGAGGAACAGGACATAGCTCTGCTCAGGAGGACAGCAACAACAAAAACACTGAACAACATGGAGTATATAGTACTATTACAAGATAGTATATAGTTTAAAGTTTGGGATGAAATGCTTGCTTATGCAAAAAATGTGTTCATGTTATTGCTTTTTTATATGTAGGGTTTCCACGAAGAGGGCCTTGGTTTCAGAAATTGTGTTTCAGCAATTGCAAAAAACTAAACAGTATTTTTCCCAAAGCAGATGCCACGATTCACCAATGAAACAATAAACTGTAGATAAACTACTCTGTATCTGTTAGGCCCAGTTGAGACCTGGCATTAACATGCGTGACAATGTGTTTCGATCACAAGTGGACAGCTCTAAATACGTCAGTTCACACCTAACATTAGAATGTGTCTCGACTGACCTCCCCGCTCTATATGCAAATATAAACGTGCATCAGGAGTTTGAGTTTTCATTAAAATTAAAATTATGACTGGTGTGTTAATTGCTTGTCAAATTAATCAGAGCACACAAGGCCCGATCTCAGGAGGGGCATGGAGCTTTATTTCTGGGGTGCCGGTGTAACCAGCGGATATCTGGGCAAAGACTTGCCTTTCCGTACACTGCTATTTGTTTACAATTCGATGAGCAACTTGATATGCGAAACTGGAGTTGGAGTTGAGAGATGACGTGTACAAGCAGATTGTTTCACAAGTAGCCAGTTCACAAGCTAATTTTAAATATTAAAAAATCGAAATCATTGTCAGACGATAGCCGGTGGGTTCTGTGATTGCTCGTCGGCCAATGTGCTCCGCCTCTTTCGCTCTCCACACGGACTGTTTGCCAGCATGCAACCAAAGACTGCTTGAATGTGGCCCAGGATACATTCCTGTGGACACTGGACAAGACCACCTCAGATTCTGGTCTGAGCGATCGGATGTGTCCTCGATGGGTTTTTGGTGCATAAACACCTGTACTTTAAGCTGTCCACCAGTGATCGGATTACTCAAGACGCATGTTAATGTCAGGTCTGAACAGGGCCTTAGATGTGTAAAGAGGCAGCTGTTTGCTAACAAATGAACTGTATCAACGTAGAATGGGAAAATATGTCAGTGTTGTTTCCAGCAAGTTCTTTGAAATGCCATCCATCAACAGCATTTACAGTCAATCAACACGAGTCCTATGCTGAAATGTTGTAATTGAAAATTTAAACTGAATTATCGTTGGCTGAAACGTAGACTTGCTAATTACCGAGTTTGAAATTAGATCACAAATTATTGCATTATGCATTAACGGCTAAAATGCCAATTTTGTTATAGCAAGCCACAAGCATTTGAAATTGAACCAACCCATTATTATTTTTGCGCACATGCTCGTCAGAGGCCTTGCTACAGCTGCTTTGATCTGAGATACAATAGCATGAGTGAGAGGCAGAGATTTGAGTCAGATGCAATAAGAGCCAGTTATGCTGGTGGGCCTGCCAGTGGATCAAATTCAATTTCCAGGGTAAAAGAGTGAGTGGAGTGTTTACCTGAGGCTGCAAAGGTCTCACTGTAATCAGGGCTTCAAATCTTAAAGGCATTTAGGCAAGCAACTGTTTCGTTTCAAGACACGGCAGAGAACAAGTGGGAAGACAAGTAGGAGTGTGGTAATTGGAATCTGAGAGACAAGAGAGCAGAGGAGAAATGGAGACCAAAAGAAAAAGGACTACAGAGTCAGAGAGAGGAGGGGGCTGAGAAGAGTAGGATTTTGTTTTTAGATAAAGAAAGTAGACCCACAAAATAAAATAACAAAGATAACTTTGATGCATTAAGGTTATCTCGCCCCATCACAGCCCTGAGGCTTATTTCAGGGCGTGGATTTGCATGCGCACACAAATACCTGCTGAAATGTACACACAGGCATACAGCATGCAGTGCAGGAAGCAAGTGTTTGGGTTTTTAAGCAGTTTGTGAGGTCTCGCCAGGTTAGCTCGCTATCAAAGGCATATCAAGGTAGGATCAAAATAAGTTCCCATCTCTGGCTTTCGCTTTCTTTCAAACTCTCACACAGTGTGAGGGCTTAGAGATGAAAGTGAGGAGTCCCTTCAGGCAACAAACATCTCATCTCATCTCATCTCATCTCCTCTTCTCTCCACTCCTCTCCTCTCCTCTCCACTCCTCTCCTCTCCTCTAATTGTTGTTGCAGTGGTTGATATTAGTGGTGTGGGTGGCTGGCTCTGTAAAGGGAAAATACATTAATTCAGTTGTTCACTTATTAATGAGGTCAAACTGTCATTGAAGTGAAAGAAAAAGGCATTTATTTGGACCTATCCTCTCTAAAGTTGAATCTGTGATGGGAGTCTTATTTTGTCCCTCAGGTATGATTAAGCAAACAGAGCAGCCATGAAAGTTCTCAGTGTGCTGTAAATTAGTTTGACTATATACAGCACATTGGCTAAATTAGATTCCTTTTGAGCACATAGTTAGGGAAAAAGATTTCACCCATTGTTAATTTTCTCTTTGTCTAACCCCTGATTACATTGCTTATGTAAGCCTTATGTAACCTAAGAGGCACCAACAGTGCTTAAAGGAGAAGATTGTGTTGCCTAAATGGTGCAGCGTAAAAGGAAAGGGTCCTAATAATTGCAGTTGTAATTGACAAAGTTTGGTAAAATTAGGTTTCTGCCCTGGCTGTCTTCCTCTGTGGACCTTTTTGTGGGGTTCTGAGACTCAGACCGCCCTCCCAGACTGTGCAGCCAATTTGTTTTCTCAGATAAAAATAAATAAGCTGAGCGCAATTTAATTGTGCCCCATTATCCCACCCTCCAGTCACCATGGAAAACAAAACCCACACAATGCTCCACTGAGACCGGGCTTTTGGAAAGAATCAAATTAGGATATGCTTTGTGTGTGTTTGTGTGTGTGTGTGTGTGCAGGAAGAGAAAGAGGGAGCAAATGTACCGGAGAGGTAGAGGATAGAGGGAATTCTCTGTATGGAAGGATTCTACTGATTTAGACCTGTAAACAACAGCAACTACACACACACACCCTTTAGTGACAGTCCGGCTCAGCTCCCTGCTTGCAGGCTATATGACAGCTATTCAACACATCAATGAAACAAATTTCCAGTGAAGCACACAGTAACAAAAGTCATTGTTTTCAATCAACCTCCCCTCTCCCGGCTTGGGCCGCTGGTGTGCTGAGATACAGTTCTCCTGTGAGCAGACAGAAGGGAGGAAGGAAGAGCTTTTATTTCTGGAACACACACAGAAACCAATTTGCGGGGTTGAAATTATTCTCATCAATAGCGCCGGCTGCAGCCTTCAAGCTAATTAGAAACTTCAGTGAAACAGCAATAACAAGTTATTTATGTTGCAGTGATATTAAAGTCGTGTATTCCCTCCCTCCATCACCCTCTCTGCTCTCACGTCTCCACTGACGCTCTTCTGTGTAAACATGCTGCTTCTCCTAGCTCCTTTTTTAGTTCCCGGGAAAGGCTTTGAACCCACCGCAGACTTTAGAAATTGCATATTGTTAATTAATGTGTGATCCGTCTTCTCGAGTCCTGGTGAAGAGCTGTTTGTGTTGCAGGATCATTATGGGAGATCGCTTTTGAGTTTGCGTTTAGCCGTGACTAGATTGAATAAACAAATAGGGAAAAAAAACTTTCCGACCAAAGGGTTTTCTTTAATCATTTGGTCTGGTGTGACTTATGAGCAATGATAGTATGAAGTGAGACTTTTGATTAAAATGTAATAACAGACATCTTTCACTCCTAGTTTCTGGTGATGCTATTGAGTCCTGGTTGTCTACTGTCTGGTTTTGTTACAGTTATGTTACTGGGTCATAGGAATTAATGAATTATTAAGTGAGTGGTTTCCCCTTTACTGAAAATGTTTAACCACAAGAGGGAGCTATTGAGCCTTTGGCTGTGCTGTGTTGTAGCTGTACAGTGCCTGACAGTAATGAATTACCATCTCTTCTTCATCATCTTGTTTAATGTGCTGATGCAGGTCTTGGGCTGGGTGTCTTGTCAAAAGGCTGTGATCAGTAGTTTTAGAACCAGACTCCCTTTAAAACTAATATATTATCTCTTGCTCCCTCTCTCCGACTGTTTCAGTTGGATCATTACCCTCCAGTCAGCTACACTCTCCCAGACGCCTCCGACACACAGTTCAACCTGGTTAAGACGCTTTTCTTGGGCAAAGTCTTTGGTGAGTATGTCGGCTCGTATTTAACCATTTTCACACTGTGCACTCTGCTTTCACCACACAGCTCAACAGTTGGAGCTCAACTTTCTAATGGTAATCAATTCTATTGTGGATTAGTGAAAAGTCAGATCGACGCTATTGATACTGCAAAAAAACAAAATTCAGGAAAATAAAGCATCATTCAGTTATTAAAATGTATATAATGTATGTGGATTGACCTTGCTGTAATCCCCAACTGGAGCTTACTGACACAGTGTTGTTGTTTTTCAGCTGTTGTTATATTTAGGTATATTTTGATCCGCTTGTGCTGTATGTATTTATGAACTTTATTCTATTTCTGTAAATCCATACAAATTTTAACCATTTAAATGTACATACGGGTCCTTAAAGCACTAGTATACACATTAATGAGCAATAATAAATAATTAAGGAAGAAGATAAATGAATACGCTCAAAAGAAAAGAGGCTGTAATTACTCATTTGTCCACTAGATGATGCCAAAGGACTAAATGGGGGATATTGGTGCAGTACATGATCTCAGCCGCTTGCACGCACAACATTTGTGGCTGATGAGGTTATGAAGTCTGTCTGGTTAAAACCTCCCTGATATCACATTGCCTAGCATTAGACTGTTCAGAATTCCCACAGTGCTTGACCAGTTTAGATAACAGAACATATTAATCCCCAGCTTTTATTTTTCCCTTTGATGTAGCTGTTTGGGTTAGTGAGTCACTGCTATTTTGACGCATTACTTGTAGGAAACTCGAACACTGCAGTGCTGAAGCTGATTAGAATGGGACTCATAATCTTTTACATCAGTGTATTTTTTCCCACTGACTTAACTAAGACCATTGGTCCAAACAAACCACTAAACCATCTGTCCAAACACCTTAGACTTTGATTACACACATTATTAAGAGCTAGTTATACCTTTACATATTTAGTTTCTTCTAGCTGTGGTTTGTGGCTTGGTTTTTGTCAATTCTATTAGCTTCTTCAATTACTTATAATGTTCCTCTGATGGAAGATTGTATCTCATTATTTGCATCTCGCTGCAGGCTGCTCGAGTCTATTCTATCCTGTTCTTCTTCTCTCTTCTCTTCCTTCCCCTATGTCTCTTTTGTCCTCTACCTCAAGTGTCGAGAAAGTCGGTGAGGTTGAAGTAATGGCTGACTTCACTTACCAGCCAGAACTATCGACTGCTGCACACACCGCCAGAACCCCTGGGAATGCAACACCGTGCACGCGCACACACACACACACACACATGAACAGGCACCATGCACACACAGAACACAGTCATCCATCTTAACCCAACTAACACAGCACAGATGCTTTGAGGACGTGCAGGACAAAGTCACAGCACATGCCAAAACAGCCTTACACTTTACACATCAATAGACTCAACATTGTGAGCCTCCTGTAAACATCATCACAAAAATAATACATACAGACAGAACAATGACATGAGGAGGTAAATTGGATCGAGAAGGAAAACAAAAGGATGACGAGAACATTGGGATGAGAAAGACAGAGAGAGAAACAAAAGAGAACAAAAGCAGGCGTTTGATTTAGCACATCTCATCAGATCTGTTCCACTTCAGTGTTGGGACCACAAAGACAAGAGAGGCTGTCAGATAGCTGGGCTATCAGATTCTCTATTTCTGGGACACAGAGACTCTGTGTTTGGTACAGCACACACATACACACACACACTGATCGCAGCGACGTCTCCTCTATCACCTCACAATCTGCTGATTGTGGGATGGGAGATACGCAGAAAGAAATGTATATAACCATTATTAATATACAGTAAACATGTTTTTTTCTATGAACTAACTCCTTAGTTAACTCTGTACTTGGTAGTACAAATTCACATTAAAACCGTACTTGTCTATCTACATCTGCTCAAAATGATGCCATTGATTAGGGCCCCAATATTCAATAGCCATCGTTCCCTCACTAACTGAATCTTCATTTTGCATGCGGGCTGCAAAGGGTCTACATACCATGAACAACCCCTAAAGTAATGGAATATTTTCGTGATTTGCTACTAATTTAGCCTACCTTTCGCTGTCGCTTATATTGTTTCTTCCACATTAGACACTTTTTTCCGAAGCAGTTCCTTCATTTTCCCAGTCGTCTACCTGAGTCTCCCTCAGACGATCTCTTTGAGCATCTCTTTCCATCACGTAAGACACTTTTAACTGAGTTGACCCGAGCCCTCTAACACACCAAAGCAGTGCCATCGATATAGATCTGCAGTGGTAGATATAAGACCTGACAATGCTTAGTATGAGAGCTGAAACAAAAAAAATGCTGAACGTGCCATACTTCTAGTTTCTCCAGTGTGTTCATTTGCTGCTTTTTATGTTTTATATTGTTGGAAACTGAATATTTTTTATACACTTAATCAAATAATTGGGAAAATAATTGTTAGTTGCAGCCCTGATATACCTGCATGATCGCACTTCAGGCTCCATGCAGGCATAGTCTCACATTCAAAGTTTTGTATAACTGACTGCAACTGACTGCAACAAATCTAATGTCAATTTAATTGCGTTTGTTTGTTGTAGCTGTCAGAGTAAAAATCTCAGGTCCAGGGTCATGAGATCTAATGTGTTTGTTGCCACGGGTAATTTTGCTGAAGTGGTATTGATCATGAAGCACAGGGGTGATTCAGCACATGCAGCATACAGCATATGCTACTAAAACTGCTGCAGACTGGTGTTTAATGTAACCCTATGCAGTGTGCAAAGGTAAATATACATCAGCGCTTAACAGCATATTTACAAATGCAGGGTTAGGATGGAAGTGGGCATGTCTTTCAGCATGCATCCGTGTGTGTGTGCGTGTGTTGGTGGATGGGTTGATTTATTGCGTATAGGTCTGTCCTCCCTGGGTCTCTCCATAGATGGGGGACATGAGTCATACACCAGAGCAGCAGGCACACTCCCAACCCAGTCCTCATTGCCACAAATCATGTGTGTGAGCGTGTCTATCTAAGGGAATAAATTCAGGGCCAAAGGCAGAGACGGAGCAAGAAAGATAGTGGCACTTTGAAAGTGCTGTTAGAGACGGATGATTGCAGCCCTGAGGGTTGCTTGTAAAGGACATGTACATCAGTACCACACTGAAATTGTGATTTTTCTCCTATTTTATTTTTGTATGCCGCTGGCCTCTCTTGTTCTGTTAACTCTGCCCACACTCATTTAATACGTTGCAGCCAGTGGGTGCTGCCAATTATTTTACACAGACCTTAAGTCATGCTGACATTTCCAAAGTATAATTTTTCCCTTTTCCGTGTGCTCTTATTGTGCTTTTCATGCGCCTTTTCTTTCACTTAAACACATACATTGACCCTCAAGGAATAATCACAACCATTTTCAGCAGGGCAGGATGTGAACCAACCGCCTTTTTTGTGCCTTATTAGTGGTATTAACTGCAAGTGCCCTGTTTCACCCTGTTTTAACAATCATAACTCTCAACCATGTGCCTGTACAAGTGACATCTTGCCAACACCTTAAGCAATGAATATCACCACTGTATATGTAGATCTGTCCACTGAACAAGGTATCCTTCTCTGCTCATCCTTCAATATGCCAGATCGTAATACGGTCAAATTTGTCACATGACAAATCAGGCTCAATGGATATTTGTCCAAAATGAAATTATATATACGGTATATACTGTATTTATATATGTATATGTGTGTGTGTGTGTATACTAATTGAAATCAACATTGTTTTCATTGGTGAAAGGTGATTATATTCCCTCAAATAAACTAATTTGTTTATATAAAATGTAAGAACTCTCACATATTTATACATACACCTTCAGCAGATGCCACTTTATAAGTTGATGAGGGTGTTTGATTGAAACATCAATACATTCATAAATCATTTCATTGGACTGTTGATAAGTTTGGGGGTTTCTTTTTTTCAGGAGTCAGCTCGCACATTGTAGAATTGATTCTTTATCAAGTACAAATCACTTGTACTTTACTCACCGCTGAATGGTTACCAAAGCATGCCATGATGAAGTACTATCAGTTTCCTCCCTTCCAGGCAGCCACTGGTTCAATGCCTTTGTGTTGTGACCTTTGGGCAGAGCCACCGGACGTCCTGACTCTGATCAAAGCGCTGATGAACCCTGATTTTGGATGAGGCTGATACCACAGAGTACTTCTATCTCCTACCTATCTCCAGCTGTATACTCCCTGTAATCTCAGTGTGGACTTTACATTGAGATGGACGTACCTGTGCGTGGCCACTGCTTTGTATGAGTGTGCGTGTGTCAGGGAGGATAGCATGATGTCATCCTCCCTGACTATCACCACTAGTTGTACTTAATACTGGTGAGTCCTGATCCATGGTAGTATGGCTCCGGGATCCAGGTTTTCTCCAGCTGCTGTGTCGGAGTGGGGGTGGGACTGCACTGCAGTGAGCGAGAGAGAGAGACAGACAGAGAGAGAGAGAAAAAAAGAGAGACAGAGAGAGGGACATCAATGTGGTACCGTGTCAAGAGATTCATATAGCACATTGAGGAAGAACGAGCACCAGAAGAGAAGAGGAAGCTGTTTTTGCCTCACCAACTGTGTACAGACACTGACACAAACTGCAGATAGGTAACTATAGTTAAATGCATCTGTGTGTGTGTGTGTGTGTGTGTGTGTGTGTATACCTGTGTATCTTCATTTGAATGTGTACTTGCATTATGCATGAGTGTGCCACGGTCTGAGTAATTCCTCGTTGCTGTGACTCTAAACGTGTATTAAATTTGCTGCTAAACAAGATTGACATTATGCCAAATGTGTGATGCTTTATCCTTTCAAAGGGAATCCAGCCCTGAAGTAATTGGATTGCAGGCAAGTTGCACAGAACCCTGGTGTGTCCGTCTTGAGTCAAAAGGAAAAATGAGTCGTATAATCATTATTTTACCGCTCTGTTTGTTGCCGCGTCTCTGTTATGTCTGTGTTTCTTGGCTTGCCGTCTGTACAACCTGACATCCTGTTGGAGGAGGAAGCTAGAGCTGGCATTGACGAATACACCTGTGTGTGTATGTGCATGTGTGTGTTCAGTAGGGCATAGCAACCACCAGGTGTGTTTTCCATGTCTAAAACTAACACTTCATACATCTACTTCAGCTGTTATCGCCCTCCTCGTTCATCCATTCCTCTCCACCTCCTTAATTCATCACTCTGTTTCTCCACACCCCTCACCTGCTTTACATGTCTGTATTCACTGCAGTTTGTCACCATGTCGTTTTAAAGACATTCATACCAACAGTTAAGAGAGGAAGAAGAAAAGTTGTGGTCAGTTTGTAGTTTTTGACTCGACTATCAAACTAAGTATAAAAAGATATTTACACCAAGAAAAAGCATGAAAGCACAAATAGATTCATTTTTTTATACATAGCAAATTTTATCTTATTTTTTGGGGTATTTTTCTCTTTCATAGATTCATTTATACAGCTTTCTCTTTTTTAATTTCGCTCTCTCAGCTGCGACTGTTCGTGTGTGTGTGCATTACCACATGTTAAATATTAGATTTGGTTTTACAAAGGGTGTGGTGGGTGGATTCACATTGATATTCCTTTGATATGTCTCAAATGCATCCTACTTTCATTTACCCCACCCTCCTCCTTTTTCTGTCTCTCACCTCTACATCAGCTTCCATTTGTAGCCATGGCAACTGTGTTTGATCTCCTCTACCCTGCCCCTCCATTTGAGCGCCCCTTCTTGTAACCCCATTTCTTTCCCACTCTATTTTTTCACACACTTACCCAGACACACACACACACACCCACTAGAGACACTCTTGTCTGTCTTGTCCCCTTCTCCTCCTCCTCCCATGGCTTTCACCTTTCCCATCACCACCAGCCCTTTTTGGAGAGGCAGCCACACCCTCCCTCTCTGCTAGTTCTGCAGGTCTTGCCATCCTTCTGTCTTTATTTCATCCAGCGCCCCCCGCGACCCCCCCGCCAAAAAACAAAAATACACCACAACCCATTGTCCTCACTCCAGCCCTGTCGTCACAGCTTTATGTGCTGCCTCACCTTTTGAATTATTCATGTGATGTCACAGGCCACCCTGGTGACACACAATCAGAAGGTGCAATCCTCTGAGCAACATGCTGACCTTGTTGCTGTTGTGACGGTGTCAGCGTGTGTGTGTTTGGCGGTGGATGTGTGAGGAGTCCCATATGGCACGTGGTATAACACATTTGTAGGACCTAGTTGTAATCATATGTGATGGTGCATTTCATTATTTCAATCTGAAGCCAAACGGATTAGTCTCTGCTTTTAATCATGATTAGTGTGTGTGGACCTGTAGGTTTGAGTGTGTACTTGTTTTATTGATCAGTCTGGAAAACCCCATTAGCAGACTCCAGGGTAAGGGATTACAAGCTTTATGATCAGTGTGTGGTGACTGGCTCTGAAAAGTTATTACTTGTAATGTTTGGTGTTGAGAAATGGGGATAGAGAAAAAACTCGAGGAAGGTGTAAAATACTATTTAAAGCTCTGTCGGCAAGAACTTAACATGGAAAGGTTATAATCTCAATGATGTCTTTGAGACTGCATTAGAGAAGTGTTGGTCATTTTATAGGCCACTGGTTGCGGTTTGATTTTATTTAAATAGCTATTCATGTTACTTCTTTTCTTCCTGTACGCATAGAATATTTCATAGAGCTGAATCAACACCAGAACTGAACAATCACAACTCCACAGTGTTTTTGCAGGGCTAATATAGTGGATTGTAATAGGCATGTAATTGTGTTCACCTCTTGTTCCTCCATTAGTACTAGATGGATAGGATGCCATAAAAACCAACGAAGCCTCTTATCAGTGACAACGCAGCCCCCAGTTCATCATATGTGATGTTTATGGGCAACATTATATTACGTTAAAATGAAAACATGCTGCTTTGTAAGGAACAACTGCTCGTGAAATCACTGGCCACAAACAAATCTGAAACAAGGGAAGCTTTTCGCCTATTTACTCACCGGCATTGTATGCTAAGCAGCCTGTTATACTCCCAACAGAGAGCCTATTAGTATTCACACGCAGGCCTCTGCAGTGATCAACACATGTTCAGGCATACGGGAGAGAGAGGACTTGTATTCATATTCATATTCATATTCTGTATTTGTTATCAGTATTCTGCTCACTGTGCTTACTGTAAGGCACTTCTTTCCCTACTGTGTCTGTCTCTCTGCTTATTCTGCACACCCCTACGCATATACTGTATATGCAAATTCATACGCACTCTCACGTACACACCATCCACACCGTTTTCAAGGTGTGAAGTGAATGATAGCAGATACGTTGGTCTCTGTTCCTGCAGAAAAGGGCTGACCGGCTCCATATCAGACAGGAGATGCTAAGCCACAGTTCAGGGCACAATTCACGTGCCAGCAGCATTAGTACCAAATTGAAGAAATTAAATGAAAACTAAACTGTAGAGCCTGTATCAAATGATTGTTTCAGCTCAAAGATATGCAGTGAATACGCACAATGCAAGTGTCTGAAGGAGGTCTGGTCAGATGATGAATACGTAGAAGACTCAGACGGTGCTGAGCTCTATTCCTGGCAGCACAATCAATAGTGTACAAACACACACACACACACACACACACACACACACACACACACACACACACTTGTATTAGACCCACCAAAATGGAATAAAGAGAGAAAATTACATTATATGCCATATCCAGATACTCAGAACCCCATCAACTGACATGTCACGGTTCAATAAATAAACACACACACACACACACACACACACACACACACACACAGACAGCAGTACTCCTGTTAGTCACCCCTTGTTCATATTTTGCTGCAGGATTGTCCAAACAGCAGTTCCCTCTGGGTGTGGCTCAGTCGTGTAGCAGCAGAGCAGTCGCTCATGTTAACACTAAAACCCAGCTCCGTCTGCACACAGGGTTCATGTGAAGGAATAAGCTATTTTGCGGCTCTGCGAGGAGTGTTGAAGACAGTTTGGCTGTTTTGAAATCAGTCCAGGTTTGTGCTGGAGTGGAGCGTGTCTGAGGATGTTTGTTTTTATGCAGCGTCTAAGTCTTAACTGAACTGTAGGTGTTGGAGAGATTATTTTTATCATTTTGTTCGCTGCCCGCGGTTTTTCCTCTCTTTTATATTCTCTGCAGTTATGTGTGTGTTTGTGTGCTCTGTGTGTGTGTGCCAACAACAACAGCCAACAAGAATCTTCTTTTGTATTTATTCAAAGATATAAGAAGCATTTTTGATGATTGATATGATCGTTAATGTGAGCCTACATTAGACAAGCACTGAATGATGCTGAGTGGTTTTAACACTTACATTGTCTTGATGATTGCCCCGTGGATCAAACTAACAAATCCCCAGTCAACACTTTTCAGCTCCAGATAACAGACAATGTTTGTCCATACTGGAAAATATGCAACCTATTTAACCTACAAACAGCCCATATAATCCACAGATTGAACGAGGATAAAGCACTGGCTGGACTGAGCTCAGCGGGCCAGCTGGTCAGTGTGTGTGAAGTCATTTTCTTTGAAAATTAAAGAGAGATGAAAGTTAAAGGAGAGAGAGAGAAACACACTGTGACACAGATCTAAAAGTGCACAAATTGCTGCATTTCAACAGGCACATATGAATTTGTCTGGAAAACGTCAACAAGTACCTTCAATGAAATAACATTTTCGAAGGCTATAATCTTATTTCCTCTCTGTGTGCCGTGGAGACTGAAACTGGCACTGATGCTTTCTGCTTAAGATACATATGAGTCCACGTCCTTTGCTACCAAGGCATCCTGTCAATAGGAGAATGAATTTAGAGACAGAGAGAGACAGACTGTATGAGTGAAGGGGGTGTTAATTCATTATTCATCCTCTTAATTCAACAATAGAGGTGAATGTCAGTATATGTTCCCCCCTCTGCTTTTTCCCTCCTCCTCCTCCTTCTCGTCTCTCTTCCCTCTCTTCCCTCCTCATTTGTGTAGATTCATACCCAAGTGTTAGTTTACTGTTTCTATGCATCAGCAAAATTTGTGCCGACCAGAAGTTGAGCTTGGCTGGACACAGGACTTATAGCATTCAGAGAAAGTGTGCTGTGTATGTGTGTGTGTGTTCATCTTTTTGTGTGTTTTGGAAAATCAATGCTGATGCTGTCTCCTTAAAAGTTGCTGTGTTCAGTGCTTGAGATGCCTGGTTTCTCCTTGCTCTCTCTCTGTCTCCCCACCGTCTCTCTATATCAATCAAATGTCTGGGCATGGTCCCACATAACTCAACATCACATTTGACTGCTTTGACAGTCTCAACAAATAGTAAAAAAGTTGTTTTTTTTATCTGTCTCTGTACAGAAACTGGACACATAGACTCAGTCCTCATCGAGCGTTACAACACCCCAGGCTTTATCGGGTGTCTTTCGCGGGTACAGTTCAACGGCGTCGCCCCCCTCAAGACTGCACTGAGAGCCGTTGCACAGGCCCAGGCCACACTGACATCCGGTCAGCCCGACAGACAACCTGCAGCCGCCTCACCGGTGTCTTACCAGGGCAAACTGTTGGAGTCCAACTGTGGGTCGTCACCTCTCACGATCCCACCAATGTCTGCCGCTACAGATCCCTGGCATCTGGACAACACAGGTGAGGATTACACCAAACACCCATAACATGCTGCTGGCCATTTAAAATGCAGTAATGACTTCCGACAGAAACAACGGTCACTTGACATCTGCAAACGAAATGTGTTGCAGTTCTGTTTTGAATCACCTCTAGGTGGCACATTTAGTGACGTAAAGATGCACATGTGCACACACAAGCTCAGCAATTGATCTCTCATACTTCCGTACTCCAACTGTACCTCTAAATTGGACATGTACACACATCCATATATGCACGCACACAGACTTCTGCGCTCCTGTGGCTAAGGTTGCTTTCCACACCAGTGTTTAGTATTTCAGAGCGTCAATCATCTGGATGCAGTCCTATTCCTCAGGCTTGGTGCCAACTGTGCCTTTGGGAACGTTGAGATATCTGAGATCGACCCAGTCCATTGATCTGGACTCCAGGTCCAAACTCACAGTCAGCTCTCCACCATCCTTCCACAGGAAGGATTGGTGTTTGTCTTTCTTTATAATTTCTATAGATAGTTCTAATCCATTATTCAACCAGCCCTCCCTCAATCCGTCATGATCATTGTTTGGATTCTCATTGATTTTTTAAAAGTTTTTTTTTTCATTTTTTTTTCAGCTCCCATCCTCCTCACTTCCGTTTTTTTCTTTCACATTTTTATATTATTGGTTCTCTCTGCTCGCCTCTCCTCTCTACCCTTGTCTGTCATCTTTTCAGAAACAATCAATTCTCGACATTATTACCGAACACATCCAAGCAGCTGACAGACTATAATGAGTATGATTGCTCTCCTCCTCTCTGTTGCTTTCCGTTTTCACCTCTTTTTCCACCTCAGCCTCCTCTTCTCCGTCTTACTCATGCGCTTTACTTCTCTGGAGAGCTATGCAGTCAGTAGCAGAAATAGCTGACAGCTCATTGCAGGGTGAAGCTCTTTGTGTGAGTGTATATGCAGGTTGCTGCAATAAGGCTTGATTATACATGTCTGCAGCTCTATCCATGCTTTCATACGAGTCCGTGCGTGTTCCTAAATGGACGAATTAAAGAAATTGTTACTGTGGATCTCAACAATATCTTCGCTCTCCTTTTACTTCTTCCTTTTTTCACCCACCATCTCCACCCTCCTCCACTCGTTTGCACTGCACTTCTATCCATTCAGGGAGAATAACAGCAATTAGATAATTGTTGCTGACAGAGAATTCCGGCACATAGGCAAAAGCAGCAGCTGGTGTTAACCTCTCTCTGTTATGAATCTTTAATAAAACACATGAAACAGCAATACATTAAATAAACTGTTGTAGTCATCCCCTAAGGATACTTAGCACTGGTGTATCCATCCATTGGGCGGTCATATGTATGTACGCAGTGATCCTGAAACCACTATAGTAGAAACTGTGCGCTGTGGTTTTTTGCTTCAGGGTTTAAAAGCAAAACTTTGTTGTTATAATTCTGCACAACGTATGCATGATCTAATTACATGTGATTTATTTACTGCTAAAAAAAGACCAACGGTTCTTTTTTTGAGTTGCTGCAAGCAGGACTGTGACATGTTGGTATTTTCCTGACCTTGAAATGCACTTCCACCATCTGTTTGGTATTTTCATGCTCACAAATTGGTCTAGTGAAGCTTTTCAAGTTAGTTAATATTGCTAGAATGAATGGAATTATTTTGTCTCTTTATGTGGGAATGTACGGTTTGAATGTGTCCTTTTTCTTGCTGTGCTCAGATGCAGAGTTCCCCTTCAATGAGGAGAGAGTGATTCCTGATGGAGTCAACAGAGACTCAGCCATCATTGGAGGTAAAAAATGTCATTTCTGAAAGCGGTCTTTCTCAGATTTGCATTTGAGATTACCTGAGCCTCAGGTGCCAAATTCAAATTTCAAGTTTGTCTAAAACTCCAAAACACTCAGTTTCCTATAATATTTGACAGATCCTCACATTTGAGAAGCTGAAACCAGGGGATGTTTGATCAGATGTATTTCCTGTCAATTAACCAATCAATTAATCAAGTCATTATTTCTGCTAGTAGCAGTGATTAAAAATACAAATGATTTCCGTGTCCTTTGCAGGTATCATCGCGGTTGTGATCTTCACCATCTTATGTACGCTGGTGTTCCTGATCCGCTACATGTTCCGTCACAAAGGCACCTACCACACCAACGAGGCCAAGGGCAGCGGGGAGTCCACCGGAGAATCGGCGGACACGGCCATCATCGGCACCGACAACCCAGAAACCATCGACGAATCGAAGAAGGAGTGGTTCATCTAACGGCCAATGGCGGGACTTTGAGAGAGAAAGTCAGACCACCAGGTGCCACGGAGATGGAGGAGGTTGAATTCAATGACCAATCACAGGAAAGAAGGAGGAAAGGAAATCCAGTAGGACAATGATCTCCCAGAGAGGGCGGGGATGTGGGAGAGACGTGTACAGAAATATTTTTCGTTTATTTGTTTTGGTTTTTTATATATTCAGAGTATTAGAAAAAGAAGAGGGACAGTTATGCAGCAGAGCTCTGCTCTAAGAGACTGTACATGTATATACTAACCGGCTTGTCCTTCTTTGTATCGTGCTTGGGAGTTTTCAGGAGTCCTTTGAATACTGTATATGACAAATAATTATACTTACTGGGTCGTGTGATAGCACAGATTTATTTCCAGTCTCTGTTGCATTTTGATTTTATTTTTTAACAAAAATCTTATATCAAAAATGATCAAATCAACATGCCAAACCCTGTTTTTCTTTACTTATCAGGCTGTGGTTGCACCAGTCTGTCAACGCTCATATCCGTCGAATGACATGCCACTTATATTGTGGTAATATAGAGTTGAATATGGATGCCAAAACTTACTTTGTAAATATAGTATTTTGTGTTTTTTTTTTCTTAAAAGATTTATTCAGAGTCCAGTACATAAATACAAATGAGAAATGTCAGATCTATATTACAATAATATCATATGTCCTTCCATTACATTATATATGTATTAAATATAGAGTTTTATGTTTAAATCTTATGACATTCGATTGTATGGGACATTCCTTTCTGAGGAAGAGCAGAGACGGGTTTCTCAGAGAATGATGGGAAATCATAACACTCCATGGTCGGTTTAGCTCAGCATGGCAGCTTTCTTTTCATTTTGAATGGTCAAACCGTGAGCCTTTACTCATTCAGACTTCTTCAGCAGTCCGTTTGTTTTTTTGCCAAACACTTGAATCTTACGTCAGTTACTGATTGGCTCAGATTTTTGCGTTAAATGGTAGACTTTGAATTGAGGAATTCATTTAATTACACTAGACTGATGTGGGTTTGCAGCACTTGCATGCATCTGTGCGTATATGTGTAGGTCAGATTGGGTAGTACTTTGTGTATTGGACAGAAGGGGTGCCATAATAAAACAGTTAGGACAGTCACATGGATGAGATCAAACAACTTGCCTGACACTTAATGAGTTATATTGATGCACTAAACTTCATGCATTAAGTGTTTGAAGCAGCATAAAACACAAAAAAATCGTTCAAACCTAATATTTGTTTAAGACCTGGCAAAGGTTAAGATGATAATTGGCTTTTTAATCCGTTGTGCCTCAAAGGTGTTGAGCCATTGCGCCTTGAATTTACTAGAATAACTTGCTGCTGCATGAATTGTCATTAATCAGAGTTTTCGGGTGTCTTTATGTTTCCTGATATGAGTGGTGCTCAATCAAAGCTTGATTTTGAATTCAGAATACTTCGGTGAAAAAATCCAGCTAATTTCTCTCAAATCGTAAAACAAGTCTGTCTTTTTCGAAGCATAGCCGTGTGAAGAAGTTTACACCTCCCCTCTGTGACGCACATACACACGCAAACATGCATGTTTGATAGAGCATGAGTTAAGGTCGTTCGTTCAATTACAAGAGCAACGAGTTCAGAATGAGGAGGCTGCTGCTTTGTCAACAATGATTTGACCTTCACTCTAACAGTGCCACCGTTGTCCAACATACAATGTACAATGTATATTTTAACCATGTTGTTTCCCCTGTCATCGTTGCGTGTGTTTACCTTACCGTAGCATTTACAGAACAATGTGTTACAGTTTAAACCAGCTGCCAACTTTGTTATTTCGTTGTGAATTTGCTTTCTCTACGTCTGTTTGTTCAAATTGCAGCCATGACACCCTGTTACGTGAATGATGTTGTACATCATCGCCGCCTCATGGTTGAGTGCTAACTGTACATCACTTTATCAGAGACATTAGGACAGCTGGTGAAATCAGCCTGCCTTCTACCGTGGCCTCAAAGACTTTCTATGTCCACACATCACATCCATGAAGGCCAAACCGTTACTTTCCTTTTTTTTAGTAATTATATTATTCAGACTATACATAAACACACACACACACACGCCCTTGATATGTGGTTTGAACATAATGATGATAATGGATTATCAGCTCCGACAGACATAACCCATGTTTTGCTTTCAGTTCTAAGTTCATTAAAGAGTGTTTGATCTTTAATATCAGTCGTTGTCTATGCATCACTTTCATGTTGACATATAGATATCTTCAGACAGCATTACGAAGCATACATTACACAAGACATTCATTGGACATCTTGGACCTTAAACCATGTAATAATCACAACATCAGGCCTTTGAATTTGACTCATGACCTACAGCTTCATGTAAACCAGGGTGAAGTGAGAGAAAGAAAGACACTGAGTCAGGTGGAATGAATCACAACTACACATAGTATCTAATGAATCCCTTCATAAAGCAGTTTAATTAAACTGACGCAATGTCAGCCTTTGCTCTATCTATCCCATGCAGGGAGAAATGACAATATTTATGTCTGGTCATAGGCTGCCCCCTTGTGGCCAAAGGGTGCAGCTTCTTTCAGACACGATTTAAGAAAAACCACATTCAGTGAAAGGCAATACTTGATTTAATTAGTAACTCAGTAGATAAGAGAAGAAAGAAAAAACACTGTTAATCTCAAAACTAAGAACAATCAAGTGTTATATGTTCACAGACTAGGCTGTGTGGAATTAGTATAAATAAATACAAATATTTTAAAAGAAAAATAGTAATTAAACTGCACAAAAGCATAAAAATGACCAATGAGGAACTGTCTCCGTAGCCTTCAGATTAAATTACTGTGATGTGCTCTCAATGTGATATCCTTAGTATTTGTCAGTCACACAAATTACACTCCAGTGATCTTTGAACATAGCGTGAAGCATATCGACAATGAGACTTCAAACAAGTTGAATTCCAGATCTTAATCTTCAGACTTCAGCGTTGCAATCCTTGGCAGAGTCCCAACGTGGAACATGGCGCCTACATTACCCACAATACAACTCGATCAACTCCAATCAGGTCGGGATATTCAGGCGATGATTCAGGTGATGACGCTTCAAACCTCTCGCCTCATACAGAGATGAGGAGAGGGCAACAGAGGTCTGGTAATTTCACTTATTAAGTCCACACGGCGCACACACACACACACACACACATATTTCTGTCATATTCAAACTATCTTCGACCCTGTAGGGCGTGATTTTACTAAGCTCTTCTTTACATGTGTGGAGAAGAAGGTTAACTTTACTCCGTAAGACTTGTGGGTCAAACAGACTAATTTCTGGGTAACACATTCTAGTCCTACATTATGATTAATTGTATTCCTTTTTTTTTTAATTTTCATTTAAATAGTAGAACCAAGACACTTTCAGACCCCTGACATTGTTTTGGTTATTATAGTGAGAGGGTGTACTGCAGTCCATAGATGTAAGTGTAAAAGCTGATGATTCAGTAACATTACTCAATTACTATCCATTATATCTAATAACAACTGTGTTTACCCATAAAATTCTTATCTGAGCAGTGTATTTTAATAACCTGTAGTGCATGATTGTAACTAACCCTCCAACTTTCTGACACTGTGCACTGTAATGTCATTTTTCTCGGGATCTAGCTTTGTGCCTGTTAATCAGCCCATAGGGGTCAGTATGTTACATTCATTCATTGATCTGAATGCCAGAAGCTCACAGACTTGAATTTTTGATGCAGTTTTTCTTTCTGCCAAAAAAACCACGCTGAACACTGAAAGATTCATTCATTATTTGTATTGGTTTTGACTTTATATCAACAAAACAGTAGAAAATGCATTCGTAGTGATTCATTCCGTCCCTTTGTTTCACCATCAGCCCTTTTTCGTTCCACTCTGATGCCACAGGTAATGCGTGAGTTGGAGGGAATGATCCCTGAACTAGGATCAGGACTGGTCTTTGGTATGCAGCAGGGACATGACTAAAATGCTGAAGTTTCATTGTCTCAGGTTTGAGATGATGCAAATATCACAGTGAGGAGGAAAAACTGTGATTCCTCTGAGAAGAAAGCCGGGGACTTCCAACAGCAAGAGATAAAGGATGGAAAAAAGCTGGGGACCCTTCAGACCTCGGCACACTCAGCTGTAACAACACAGATGAGGAGGCCAGTGAGCAAAAGTCTGAACTGTTTTCAGAAACAGTTCAAATGCATTCATGTCAAAGTATCTCTACAGTTGTATGTGTTAATTGCATACCATTCTGAGGCAAGATGGCGATGTTGTCAGCGAGGATGCCAGTCTCCAGGGAGAGCTGGGTAAACTTCTGCTGCAGGACGGCACTGGCCACAGGAGTGCGACCTGCAAACACAGAACGCGTTGTTTTTAAACCTAAACCAATTCCTGAATACACAAATTCAACATGCATCACTTTCCCTTCAGGGACGCTGCACCCGGGCTGCTGCGGTGCGACTCATCCAGACTTACTGTAAAGCTTGTTGAGGACCTCGGACACTCCGTCCTTTGTCTTGACGGTGTGGACCAGAGCGTAGTCATCGTACGCAACGTCGACAATTTGCATGTCATTGTCATTGTTCCAAACTGATGAAAGCAGAAATAGACCAGTCATGCTGCTGAATGTTTCTTGGTTGTGTCTCGTGTGTTCGTGTTCGTGTGTGTGCTCTACTCACTCTGGCTGTGGAAGGTGAAGCGTCCTGGAGTGTCGGTTTTCTTAGCAAGGTGAGTCATTCTCCAGCAGGTCCCGTCAGCACTAAATGAGGGGGGGGAAAAAGGTCCATTTATTTAGCATGTCTTCTACAGTAGAATCATCAAGATGTTTTCATTTAAATGGTTACATAATCACTCACTTCAGGTTGGCATAGGAGAGGTCCAGGTCTTCTCCAGTTGGCACTAACATGGCAATGCCTGTCTTCATCCCTGCCTTATTGGTCACAAACCACTGGGCATTAGTGGCAAAGCCAACAATATACCACTTGCCTGCCATCTAAAAAAAAAAAAAGACAGAAGGGGGTAATGAAGGGCGATAAAGGTTCTTCAATCAAAGCATGGTACTTCATGTTGTCTGAACTGCAGCACATGTATTAAACAACACTTATCTTCCATATAAACTACTTTTAAAAGTACAGTCTGCTCTATTAATGAAACACATTAACCAACCACAGATACTAATACCTCTTCCTTACTTTATTCCCTGGTGATTCTTGTAGCTATTAACTGTCAGTATGATTTGCAGTAGTCTTGAAGAAGTAATACTTGTGCCTCTTTCTTACCTTCTGCAGGTCGAAGTCTTGTACAGGCGTGACTGCGGCGCAGGCTGCCAGCACGCACATCAGGGCACCCAGCATCCCCAGCAGTGTGTTCCTCATGGCTTCTCCTTTGTGCTTCTGCAGCGGTGAGTGAAGTATCAGGGAGAGGTAAGGAGCAGAGGGGAAGTGGAGGCTCCTTTATATCCTGCAGAGTCCTGCTCCCCATCCCCTCCTCCTCTCTCTGTCTCCTCCCCCGTCCTACTGCTAGCTTTTGGATTACAAAATCTTTTTGGCCTTCACTGACTGGCATGCAAATCACTGCCGTTACACAACTGGCACGTGTGGATGGAAGAGGGGGGAGGTGAGAGGGGAAGCAAAGGGAGAGTAGATACATAATGGGGTTCTTTTAACACCCCCTCCTTTTCTCCCTCCTCCATCACAAATGCTCTACATGCCTGGACTATCAAAACAACTGTTTGGTAAGAGTGCACAATTTCTTAGCCATATGGTACATGAGAGCTAAATAAAACACCACTTACACAACAAGAAATAACGAATTAGAGTCTCATTTGCTGAACTTAAGCATCCTTGAAAGAGGGATCACATAATCTCTATGAGCAATAAACCTAAATGAAGATACAAATTTGATCTTTCTAGATATAAAAAAAGCAATTGTAACCAAATGCATTCTTTTGCAGCGAATTCCTTCGACAGCTGCATTGAGGAAGTGATAAGTAAGAACTTCCCAATGAAAGCATGTTTGTATCATAAAAAAGCTCTGTTGCTTATGGTGATGTGATTGTTCTTTGCACATCACTTTGAGTGTTGATAGTTTCATGAAACGTTTGAAACATGAGTCATTTAAGTTATGTAACAACAGAGTGAGAAGAAGAGTTGGATGAAGTAAATCATCTTGTTTGACATGTAATGTTGCGTAAGCCTCTGCTTTATGTGATGAATAATACCCCCTAAATCCATCATTGTTCATAAGAATTTGGTTGATCTACAATGTGTAATTTGTAATTTGCTGACTGGCTTTGAATTCTTCATTTGCAAAAATGCATCAGAGCTCCTTTTTGCTAAGCGACAAGACAAGCACAGACTTGCAATGTGCTGGTTATGTAACACAGAGAGGTGCTGGGTGGAGCTAGGGGCAGCGTTAAGAAGCCCATTTGATAACCTAGTTTTGTAACCAAACTCTCTTAAGCCTTTTTGGGCTCCACATCTGGGCTACATTAACTCCCACCCTCTCCCCTCCAGTCTTTTTGTCCCCTCCCCCGAAAGAAACAGAAAACATGCATACAGGCACACACTTTAGAACATTAAACCTCTGCACAAAAAGAGGGGCGGTAGCCAGCAGAATCAGCTGGTGGCAGATCTGATGAGGCTCATTGTGGGTTTTTCTTTTTAACTGCAAACATTTGACAAAAACTTGATTATGCTCCATTTTGTTTTATTCAGCTGTAACTGGTAACAGTTCAAGTTTTCAAGACCTCAGTGCAGTCTTTCATCAATGCCCTTTTGCTGACATTCACATTTTTAAATGATACAATCCTGAGATATTCGCATGTGAACTTTGGAACACTGCAGGGCTGGAATGTCACCGTTGCACAGCTCTGCCTCCTCAGCATGTGGGGACACAGTCTGTATAACAAAGAGTGACAGGTTCAGGTTTACATAGAAGCTGTGCAGCTTTTTTAATCAGGGATTGACGATTGAATAACATGTTGTTGAGAAAGTTTAAATAACTGAACTGAACATGACACAGTCTGCAGGAGTAAATGTGAAAAGCGTTTGGGAAGGTCTCGGGTGGGTCATTGGTTTCCTTTCAAGCTGCTCTCTCTCGCCCCCCCCCCCCCCCCCATGATATAACAGCATACTTTTTACACACCTGCAACATTTTGACATTCGTTGAGGCACGAGGAAATTATACCAATACATGGCAAGAAAGGGAGAAATATCCACGCTAAATCCATGTTGGCTGTGCTTTTGCAAAAACAGGGTCTTGCAGGGATTTTAATGAATTCTTCACCCTAAATCATACTCCTCTAAACTGAATTACATTGTAAGATATTATTTACCTCCAAATAGCTTTTACAACATCCATTATAAAGCAATACATTTAAGTGATCTAATAGATTCAGTCCATTCAAAATATATCTCATCCACAGCAGCACAATATTTCTTAGCAATTCCATTAATCTATCATAATCAAACCACTTTATTCAGATTACTGTACTGTAATCTCTCTCTCTCTCTCTCTCTCTCATTGGCATTGCTGCATAAACATGTCTACAGCTTAGACACCTAGTATTACCATACAAATTAATTACAGAAAATTCCACACATTTTGCAAAGAAAAAGAGCAGAAGAATACATATTTTGTCATTTAGCACCAGCACACAGCAGGAGCGCAGCTGTAAAGGTGAAATGATGGTCGACATGTAATGCACTGAACCAGTGAATCGTCAGTTACTGAATAGGTTGAAAATGCATGAAATAAGCCTGGAGCACTACAGAGCATAGACACGATTCTGGATGTACTGCAGTGGGCAATGACCTGTGAAAATACCCCATATACTACACATTAAGCCTGCGAGCGACATTGACAGCTAAGAACTGGCAATCATTTTCCAGAAAACCTTCTTAATTAAAAAAGCTGTATTCGCAAAATTTGTCAGCTGCTGCATTCACTTCTGTCCATTTGTATTAGTCTTATAACTATCATACTTTTCCATTATATCAAAGAGTTATGGCTATCTGTTATTTTATTACACATTAAACTTACTGATTACATGGTTCTGGTCCACAACACCACAGTGACCTAGGAACAAAACAAGTAAACAGATCTATTTAAAGGCAGCTGAGCAGGCATGTGTGTTACTCCATCGTAATCCTTTATATCAGTCATTAATGCAATGGAGATCTCTTCAAGCTAGATTTGAATCTTTACTGGCTTATTATGCCATCTTACATTTAATAATTTCATTTGCTAATATAGTTTATTTCATTGTATTGTCCAGGTGGACACAGACGTACTGTAGGTGGGGAAAGGGAAGAGGTATGCCAGTCCAAAACCCTGTTTTTCAGCAAGCTGCTCAAACTTGGTCAACATTGGCTCGGACAGATTGTCTACAGACCGGCCTGCATATAGAGCACAAAAACAAACATCATGACTTTACGAATGCATTTTCAAACAAACAGTGCCATCTCATTTTAGAGTAGAATAAGAGTAGAATAAGATCAGGACTACCACCTGGCTTTTAGATGTGAAAATACCAAAACAAGGCCAAGTGGCTGAGGAACCCACCATAGAGCTTCATGGTGATCTTGCCCCGTTTCTGGTAGTGCATGATCGCATAGGAGTTGTAGTCCGTCTCTCCAATCACTATCTTGGTGTCCAGCTCAGGACGACCTCCTAGTTGAACCAACAGAGAGAGCACGGTATGCCAAAGGGATCCGTCATTGCTCTATAATTTATCAATAAGGCTTAATAATGGAGGCACTGACCTTTAAGTGTCAGCTTGCCCGGGGTTGGTGTTACATCGTAGACCTGTAATATCTCCCAACACTGGTGATTACTGAGGACAGAAGAGAAGAGTTTGTGTCAGGTGAGATATTTGATGAAACAGTCAGTAAAAACAGGCATTATGGTTCACAACCATGTCGTTAAAACATTTGAAAACCCTCATAGAATGCTATTGTTTCATCTAAAACAATATGGAGGCATACATGATCTTCCTATGAAGTAGATTTGGCTTGTTCAAAAAACACTGGGTGTTGTTCAAAATGTTCTAGATTGTCATATACATTGAATGTTTCATAATCTAACCACATATTTCATAATCTAACCACATTTCTCAGCCTCAGGCCTAGCTTTCTGAAGGACCAATTTCCTCCGTGTGTTCCAAATAAGATTTACAAGCTCAAATCACAACAAAGATATTACGAAATGTCCTACAAAAACAACTCATTCCATTTAAATTGTCTAAAAGTTTTTCAGATGATGAGGGGAAAGCTGGATGGATTTTACTGTTTTTGAGGATACACAAATCTAATCAAACACATGTGGTTGAAACTTGCAGTAGAGATATTTGTGGTATGTTTTCCCCCTCTGCCGATAAACCACGGTACTGAAGAGTCACGGTGAGCTACATGCACAGTGCATGCTGGTACTTACCGCCGTGTTTTGGTGCTAACAGATAGTGTTTGGTCAGAGGAATGCGTGAGCGTCATGACTGTGGGCTCCACCTGGGTTCCATGATTTATCAGGTAGGAGCATTTGGAGGCAGTGATTAGCAGGAACCATGTTCCTGTGATCTGCAACACATACAAGCAGGATCAGAACAGAGATGGAGGAAGAATCAAGATTTTCAGCCTCAGACACAATATTTGCAATTTTTAAATATGTTTTTTTTTTTTCGCATTTCACAAACAATCCTCATCCTGTAAACCCCTTCTACCTAGGATTTGCCTTATTCTACCAGATTCAAATTAACTTAAATAGAATATTTAGGGTAACAATAACTTTCACTACGAATGAATACATCTGCTTCAAATATCCTGTTTTATTATCTTTTGTTTTGTCACTCAAAATCCCCCTTATTGCCTAACAACAAATTGACACAATTACACAATCATGGCCATCATGCCAACCCCCACACTAATCCATGAAAAGGCAGAATTAAACGTTTGACGCTCTGGAAAGATACTTGCTGAAACAAGCTCCAACGCTCACTTACCTCGTGTTTTCCTCAAAGCAATGATAGTTTTTATTTTTACTATTCTGTTGAGGTAATTCTGTTTCCACTGATTATTTAGAAAATCTTTTTGTTTGTGTTATTGGGACATGATGATACAAGCATGTGAGAAACAGAATCGCACTGGCAGTGTGCAAAGGTCAGAAAGCACTGGGAACTGTTTTGCTATCAGGCTGCAACTGCATTCAACTACCTGGAAACAGTGCTTTTTATATTCATTTATCAAAATAAGACATTCTCACCTTTTCAGTGCAGCTTTTTCAGGAATCTTTTTCCAGCCTTGTTACAATTATAATTAGATTGGAAGCTATTGCAAAACCATATGCAATCTGGACTCTCTGCCTATCTAGTTGTGTAGCTTGATTTAGAGACGCCAATCACAAACAAGGGATGAAAAGACACTTAAAGCACAAACAGAAATACTACACACAATAGTATATATACTCCACCCCTTCCTCCAGGTCTTTTTACCTGCTGTATGTTTATGTTCTGTGCAGGTGGGGTCAAGTCAATTGGGTCGACCTTCGGCTTCTTGGGAGGTGGTCTTTGGGGTCGCGGTCGACTCCTAGCCCCCCCTACTGCCTCAGTGGAACCCCACAGACAAGCACACATCAACACCACCACTGGCAGCATGCAACGCCATACTCCAGCCATGAGCGCACAAGAATCAGTCCTCTTCTCCTATAGGATTTCTCAGGTTCCTGTATCCTAACTTTTCTTTTTGCTCAACTTATTTCTTCTTTTTTGTATTGGTATTTCTGTCCCCTCTGTCTGCAGTCAACTATTCCTAATCTGCTTTCACTCAACCTCAGACAAACAGACACAGAAGAAATGCATAAACAGACAGAGAGTGTAGGGCACACAATGTGAAAGAGAGGATGGTCTGTTTAGTTAAATATTAACTTATTATAATATTAACAGCCGGCCCAGACTCAGACTCAGTCTCTCCGTCCAGCCAGTGTACACCTCACTGGAAACATGCCACATACCAGCCTGGTTAAGACCTCCAGCCTACCCTGTCCCCAAAAAAACAAGAAACACAGGACTTCACGACATCAGACGCGTCACCCTGACCTTGGTTAATAAGTCTTTTGAGCACTTTGTCATGTGCCAACTCGAAATCCTCACCAACCCACTCCTGCAGTTCGCTTACAGAGCCAAGAGGCCAAGGCAAAGAGCAGCCCCACCATCCCCTATCACACCATGTGACTCTCCAGTCAACAGTGTGTAGTTCTTCAGCTTCCAGGGCATTACTTATGACCCTGAGGCAGGCATGTGAGATTGTGGCTGACCCCTCCCACCCTGGACAATAAATCAGGACCAAAACCTACATCCCCAGGACAATCATTTGCACATCCCTGAACAACTTTACACTTTAACTTAGACACCTAATAACATCCATAAATATTTTAAGGCATTCTTATATATTTCTTTATTTGTTTTTCATACTTTATTGTACATTTCCATATTCTTATTTTTAATTATGTTTTTATACTATTGCACTTTATTGGTATGCACCAATCACCAAGTCAAATTTCTTGTATGTGCAAACATACTTGGCAATAAACCGTTTATAATTCTGAAATGAAGGCATTCATAAATTATGTTGTAATCAAAATGACCAACTCAACAAAGAAAAATAAGTTAATACAGGGACTTTTTGGGGGGGGAAGTATCTCAATTGAGGAGTCTGCAGTTTGAGTTTGTGTGAAGTATGTTCTGTATGTAGACTTCCCTCCAGTGCATGTATACTTGGTTCCTTAACAAGAGACTAAGCTTTCTTCTTTACCAGTTTAATAAACACCAGGATGTTTAAAATTCAATTAATAAGACACCTTTACTCACAGAAAGCTTCTCACATGCAAACATGTTAAGCTCAAAACCATGGAATTAGGTGGTCCTTCATTTTACCTGTTAAATGGACTTGTTTGAAATGAAACATAATTGTGTTTTCAGTACAGGTACTACTCCTGCTCATCCATGTCAGGTTTGTTGTTTTCTCTGGGTTTAAACGTGAGGGACACGCTGTTGATACAGAACCGCTGACCAGTCGGGTCTGGTCCATCATCAAACACGTGACCCAGGTGGGAATCGCACTGCAACAGACACAAACGCATGAAAGTCAGACACTAACCAAAAATACGAACATAAGTCTTGTATTTGAAGAACATTCTGAAGGAATCTCTGAATGCAAAGTATCAATGAGATGCATATTAAGCAATTCTAACTATGCTGCTATATAAAAAAAAAAAACTGCACACAAACCTATATAAGCAACTATAGCAAACTGAACTTTGGCTTTCACCGCTCAGAAAACAAATCTCACATTTTTACAAAGAACCTCTGTCCCAGCACTACCCAGGCTGTTGTCAGGGCGACGAATGATGGAGGCGAGGCTTTCATCCCGCTCCCATGTCCCATGAGCCTCTTTGAATGCAGGCCAGCCTGTCCCAGATTCATACTTTGCCTCTGAACTTTTAAAACAGGAAGGAACATTTCCTCATTGAGCATCTGCTAACACATTTCTATACAAACATCTCACACTAAAATGATCTCATGGCTGAGAGAATACATTTAAAAAAATCATACAGTACTATTGAATAGAATTCCTTTATTGTCATTGCAAAAAGTAGAATGAAATTAAGTAGCAATCCTGACGGTGCATAGACATATCAAACAGTAATAAAAATACAAATATATGTCATAAATAGAAAATATGTACTTGTGGAGACATTTTCACACATTAACTCTAAGTTCCAAACTGTTACCTGAAAACTGGAGCCTCACAGCAGACACAGTGGTACATCCCAACTTCAGAATGCTTAAGGTAGATCCCACTGAAGGGCTGAGAACACACACACACACACACACACACACTGTAGGAGCACACATGACTAACAGTTACATGTTTTTTTTGCTTTGTCTTCTTAAGGTTTTTGATGATAATGACTTTGTAAGTACAATACAGTAACTTGTCCTTATTTGTATTTTTGCATGCTCTGTGTTTCAAGCTGAGAGCTTCAAATTCATAAAACACCAGGTTTGTAGTTGGACAGGTTGAACCTGACACAGGCCAACAATACAGTGATGAGCAAAGTCCACCTGGAACTGTGCTGATGTATATCAGAAAACGTATGTCAGTCTGGTATAGAAGGATATAATGTTGGTTTGACACAAATCGGTGTACTGATGTGTGTGTAGTAGTACTCACCACCTCAGTCCCTTTTTCTCTGGTCACTACGTACTGTTCTGGGGTCAGTTTCTTTTGCCAGTCTGTAGTCTCGTTATAACGGGTGAGGGACTGCAGGCCTGCAGGGAGCAGAGGTAACAATGAAGAAGTCACAGAGGAGTTTTGAAGTGCATATTGCAACAGTAGAAGGACATTTTGGTCAATCGAGTATAGCCCAAGTACACATAAATAAATAAAACGTGTTTGACAGCAATCAACCATAAAACAATTAAACCCATTGGCAGGACTTCCTGAACCTTTTCAGGAATAGAATCCGCAACATTATACCACATACCCTGAACACTATGGAAAACTGAGAAAATGTTTTTTTTCACATGACTTGGAACATAATTAACTTTACTGCTCAAGGCTGGAAGGGTAAGATTTCTGAACAAATTAGTCTTAAACTTTCACTCAATCCTAACTCCTAAAATAGATGAAAAATATTAGAAATAGTGGAATAAAAAAAATCCCCTAATCCCAAATATATTGTTAACCCCTGCAAACCCACTCTTCTCGTTAACCACAGTACTTTTTGCACCAGCAAGCTGTAGCAGTGTGTTTCCTATTCTTAGTGCTTCGTGAGAAAACTGCAGCATGGTGCACCTGCGAGAGTTTGCAGCCTGAACTACTAGATAGGATAGTAACAACGCTTTAAGAAGTATCAGTAAAGAACCCAAACGTCCCCCAGTACCTTGAGATGTGGATACAGGACGAATGCATACCGGGATCCTCCTCGGTAACACCACGGATCTGGGCGTCGCGTGCCGAGAAACCACTTCGAAGAGACGGGCGACTAAACGAGACATGTTTGCTGCTGCTGTGTCCGTCTAAAGTCGAGTGCTGATATCAGTGGCAGCCAATTGCGCTCGCTGCCTCAGGATCGTTCATGCCGAGGCGAGTTCACGCAGGTTCTCCCCCAGCAGATCCACGCTGTTAACATGGGTGACCCGGTCAAAAATCACCCCTCCAGCTGAGTAGGTTAAGGTGGACAGGGTTCGCTGGCGTTAGTGCAAAGGGCAAAGCAAATGTGTAGCAGTTTTACTGCGTGAAAAAAAAGCTGAATTGGGGGAAACAATTTGGTTGGTGAGGTGCTCAAGTCAATTCTATTTATATAGCCAAATATCACAAATTAACTAAAATGTATGATGGGAACTCTAAAAAAAAAAAGCAGACACTTACTAGAATAAAGTTTATTCAGTGCTGAGTTTATCCAAGCAGGCAAAAATATATTTTCCTTACAATCATCTGACCTCAGTTGAGTCACAGAGTTTAACTGGTGCAGCACTGTGTCACTGTCTGACCCCACCTTTTCTCTGCAGTTACAACATTGTAAACCCTCTGTGGCAAAGAACCAGGTCAAAGCAGTGTGTTTAATTGAGAGGAAGACAAACAGTATTTTTCCTTTTGGCTTGTGTATGCACTAAAGTGATCCACAGACAATTTGAATGATTCTCTATGAATGGTCTCCCATACATCAAATACCTATACAAATCAATATCTATAATGCATCTCAGTAAAATGTCTGGTCACAGCATTATGTACTACAGTTTTTCTACACTACAGTGTTGGTCTATATTTATTTATTTAAAATGATCCCCATTAGCCGATGCCAATGGCACCAGATAATCTTCCTGAAGTCCAAAATCTATATAGTCTGGTAATGCACAGCAGCAAGGGTACTGGCTGTCAGCAGGCTCCCAGGCTGGTGCATGAGGTCTACTATGTAGCGGCAGGGCTTTGAAGAGCGCTCATTACTGGAGGGATTCCCATTGAAGAGTACCACCTCGTTCCAAGCCCGGTTGTACTCGCCCCTGACAAGTGTGCAGCTCATCCTGATGCAATCAGCCAGACACTGAAAAGCAAAAGAAAGGAGACAGGTCAGGATATTATGATTTGGAAACAAGAGATGGATGGAATGGAGAGGGTTATAATAGTGATACTTTTCAGGATGGGGAGAACTTATAGAGAAGAGCTTTAAAATAGTATGTTAAAAGATGTGGGTGAATTGTAAAGTCTGCAAAGGAAGAGATTGCTACAGAGGGGGGAAAATGCTGATAATGCTATGTGGTGGCTAGGTCAGTGGCACCTTGAAGAGAAGTGCCCTATGGCAGTAGATTCCCCTGCTGATCAAACCGATGGGAACAACATTAGACTGAAGCTGAATCTTGAGCTCGGCCAGGTGCAGCACCCATGGGAATTCGTGCATCTTTTCCATCTCCACAGCTCCGCCCATGGCTTCACTCACCAACCTGGCATCCAAAACCATGCAAACAAAACCCATTACAATGCAGGAACCTTAAAAATGTGTGGTGCATTTGTTTGGCATTCTCAAGGCTCACAGTGGTATATTTATAAAATGCTGTTAAATGCCACTTGTGACCTTTTTTGTGAACCATTAACTCTTTATGAGTTGGTTCACAAATACAGTTTCCAGGGTATCTTGTTTCTTTTTTTCCCCATGGTTCAAGGGTTCAAACATTGGTGGCCAATTATATAATATGAGATTATTTCCTTCCCTTACCTGGCCAAGGCAGCACACTGCTCTCGTTCATCACTTAGGGGGATAATGAATTCTTTGGCCTTTTTAAGTAGAATCTGCAAAGAGACGTCATCCATCATCTTCCATGGTTTCTCTGTAGGAGGCTCAGGCTGGGTCTCATCTTTCTGTTTGTCATCTTCTTTCTTCTTCCTGTATTGACAGACAGTTAATTTAAAAAAAAAATCTAATTCTGGGTATTTCACCATACAATAAAGCAATAGTATATTCCATGTTTTTAATTTGTTCATGAATTACATAGATCTTTATCAAAATAAACCCAAGTATTTTTGACTCCGTGTTTTCCCTGTGTTTCCCAGTGTTTTTCCCCCCTCCAACTGTGTATGTCTGTCGAACCACACATACATCTCATTTCTCTAAGAACATATTTCCTCGTTTCTTCTCTCCTTGCATGGTTTCCTTGCGTCCCTCCATGCATCCTTGGTGGAAAAAGACGCAACATGGATGCAATTTTAGAGACTTGGAATACACCCCGTGTTCCAAATTGCTAATTTTCTCATGTATCCCCTTTGCAGAGGATTGTGGGTCAGAATAGCTAGAAAAGCATGCTGGCTTGCATACTGCAAAATTTGACTGAATGCAGTGCATGGGACAACCTGGTATTTTTGGCATACAGCCTTTAACATACTATGTATTGGGACATACTAAATATTTTTCTGGCATGCTAAATATGGTAGTATGGGTACTGGAACTCATACTTGTCCATGTGGTGCTCCTTTCCTGGCTTCTAGTTACCACTGATTACCCACACCTGCTTATCACTCTGCAGTATATCAACCCTGGTTCTTCACTCACACTTTGCCAGATTGTTATTGCAACCACAGTGGAAGTTTGCCATTCTTGGACGCTGTGTTTTATCCATTCAGAGTTATGTGTTTGATTTAATTTAACTTGCCCTGTTTCCTTGTGTTTCCAGAAACATTACCCTCCAACTCCCCTGCCTGCCTGCCAGCCAGCAGCCTTGTTACCATAACCCAGAGCTACTGCATCAGCCATGCTGCCCAGCTCAGATCAGCTCAACCTCTCACTGTCCTCATCACCCTTCCCTTCTACAATAAATCCTTCATTTACTCCACATTTTCTGCTGTTTCTTCGTTTGGGTCCATCCATTACCGATCGCAACACCAACCAGTATACTATGCGCAAATGTAAGTCAAGATAAGTGAGTATTTGACTTCTTCACCATCATGTCTTACTACTCTACATTCTCATGTTCTTGAGATATCATGCAAACAAACCTGGTCAGAGTAGTTATACTATAAGTTATACAATGCACAGTGTTTGATCACGAGATATAGGTAACAAGACTACATCTTATATTAGTTCTAGTTGCTTTAAAGTTACAAAGTTAAACTTGGGTCATACATAGCCATGGACAGGTTACATAACACACTGCTTAAGAATTCCTGAGATGTTGTGAGTAGAGGCATGCTGAAGGGGGGACATGGTGGTAATGGGGTGGGCCAGAGGTACCCTGAGGGGGAACTGCTCCCTTTGGCAAAGTTAATTCATCATCAAATGCTGAAAGCTTTTGGGAGCATTAGTGTGCGTGTGTGTGCATGGACAGCCTTTTATACATATAGTATTTTTTTTATTGTGGGTGCATCAGCGTGCATGTGTATTACGTGCAGGCATCCTCATGGCTGTGCATGCATGTGCATGATTGTCCATTAGTCTAAACACAAAGGCTCTTCTACTGCAAGTGTGTTGCCATCTTAAAAAAATGAGGTCGTTTACCGTGAGAAGCCATGCTAACAGAGGAGAGGAGAGGGGGGGGGGCACTGGATTGGAGCAGACAAGGGGAGGGTGATAGTAATTTAACAACCAGAATAAATTGCACCGACTACATGGTGTGGCTGGTAGTTTAGGAAACTTGTCATGTTTCAGCCAATGCTCTACCAGTATCTGTGTGGTGGTTGTTGTTGGTTTCCCACTCTGTAGTACTTGTTGTGTAAGAGGCTAGCTGTGCTAGCTGTCATCGTTTTGGGAGTTCCTGGATATATTTTCAAAAACCTCTGTCTAATCTTTTTTTACTGGGTTGGAATCTGATGCATATTAATAATAAACAATGTTTAGTTCTATTTTTTTCAAAACCTAATGAATCCCAGAAAATCAAGAAAACATACTCTGTTGCAGTATTGACAACAATGATGGGCCGTTGCTTGTTGACAGGCTGCTCGGACAGTTCCTTTAAAGTCAGAATCCTCTGACCTGCAGGAACCTAACAGAGAGAGATGTGATGTACAAGACGTGTCAAACTATCCTTTGCTACAGTATTTTCTTTTAGATTTGACAACAGTAATTTATGTGAATTGGACTCGCATTCCTTTTTCACATCCATTTCAATAGTATACATACATACATAGATATACACACCTTCCCGGCATCGTAGAAGCCCTCACTAATAACGTCAGTGGAGGCCAAATGACCTGTCAGGCTGTATTTGACAGACAAATTGAAGTTAAGCAGGCTGATCATGGCCAACTTGCTGAAACTGCTTCTTCGAGTCACTGATTGGTTGATTTGCTGAAGCATTTCCAAGGCACTAAGACACACACAAACAGATATTCAGACATTGATGATAAATATAAAAATGCACACACTAACACACACTCGCATATAAACAAAAGGACCAGTACTTTATGTCAGAGCCATACATAATACTGTCCTATACTGCCATCTACTGGCTATTTTAGAGACTACTCTAAATTGGCTTGAAGACGCTACACCTTTTGTGTCGCTGTAACTTTAAAACACTCATCAAAGTTCTACATGACATCAGTCATGTTTGATGTAATAGTTGGCTGTCATCTCAGTGTCTTACCCAAATTTGCACATCTCCACAGCAGTGGGCACATCACTGGCACAGACATTGACAGCCCAGCATGCATTGTGCAACACCTCCTTATCATAGGTTTGCAGCAAATTGACCAGTGGGTGAAGGCCTCTTGCGCTTAGTAGCTATGAACAAGGAGTGAATTTTAGGTGGTCAGGGAAAGCATATAAACTATTCTTGGAAAATTCATAAGAAACTATTGTTTATAATTAACATTGTTTTTAAGTTTTATACAATTTACTGTTAAGAATAAAAACAGGAACAGTCAAACCAGTATTGGTACCATTAACTGATATTTTCTTTATGCAAAACATCTCAAAATTTCATTGTCATTCGCAAATATGACAGCAAGGCAGGAGTCTAAACTGTCATTAGACACACACAAACACAAACACCAACCTCTGCCCTAGCTTCCGTATCGCAGGCCAATACTGCCAGGCACAGCGTGGAGTTGACCAGGACCTGTGTATCTGTGGACTTCAAGGGCTCCACCAGAGCTTGTATGGCTCCATGTGACAAGACACTGCAGCGGATGACTTCCTGTCCCGCCATGTTGCCAAGTGTGGCAGCAGAATTGGCCACAGTCCTGGGACAGCTTCCATACAGCTGCTGGACAAGGATCTCATGGCCTTCTGCCTCGTACACTGCACTGCAGATACCACAGAAATGGATGGGAGATTTACTGCAAACCTACAGACTACATGCAGTCTCAAAGTATACAACGTAGAAGGTAAAGTGTGTGTAATTTGTGTGATTTGCACAAATAAGTGGAGTTTAAGGGAAATCAAACATTAAGAGTAAGGAAGTGAGGGAATTAAGGATGGGAGGTGGAGTTTAATGTCCCAAGAACTTAAGGAGACAGTAATGCTGAAATATGATGTCAGACAGTAAGAGACTAAGGGTAAAGGGATGATTTGTCAGGGGAATAAAAAGGTGGAAGATGAAATGGAGAAAGGGAAAGAAGATAGGTAGAGATATTCAGTGAGTAAGAACCATGAGAAGAAAGATGAAGCATTAAATCATTTGTGAAATAGCAGACAGGAAGGCACACTGCTCAACTTTAAAATACCACCTTCAAATACCCGGTTTTAGACTGCAAATTCATCACTTAATGTTTTACACATTTGCCAGCAAGTTGCACATATCATTATTCAGACCCTGAAACTGTTAAGTGTCTCGGTCCTTTTTGAGTAACTAACTGTAGGGGTCTCATTTGCATTATGTAACAGGTTGTCTGTCACTCACAATGCGTTGAGCTGGTTGCTATGTGTGAGGTTAGAGAGGGCCTGGGTTGCTGCCTCTCTAAGCACCAAACTGTCATTGCTCAGCAACCGTACAACTGCAGGGATCCCACCTGAAACACACATAAATCCAACTCATTCATACAGCATCGTTGAGAGTGTATGATGTTAAGGTGCTTGTGCGAATGTGCACGTATGTACCCAGGTCTCTGAAGCTGTCTTTGCTGGCTAGGTGGAAGCTCATGGCGGACACAGCCTGGCAGGCAGCTGTTTTCACGCTGATGTCCGCTACAGACAGAAGTTCTACAAGCACCTTCTCCACATTCTGCTCATTGAGCAGTTCGCGATTCTCAGCTACACGTGTGTATGCAAAATACGATGAAATAAACACAGAAAACACACGGATTAACTGTTACACCCGCTTGACTTCCAAACCTATAGCTGGAAAGCAATGAAAAAAAATATTATCTCTTGTCTCCTTCTGTGCTTACAGCTCTGAGCAACCCTGGCGATGCATTTCACAGCGTTGGACTGGATTTCAGGGATATTGGGGGTGAGAACAAACTCCATCAGCCTTGTTAATCCTCCACCATTCTGGATCAGCTGTAAACTCTCACTGTCACTCATACAGTTAGCAACTACCCGTAAGGCCACAGCGTGAAGGTCTCTGAATTCCTGTAAGAAATAAAAAGATAGATAGGAGACAGAGGATGTAGTCGAGGATATAGAGGCATTAGGAGTTCAGACAGTGTTCATTCAAAGGGAACCATTTTCAGCTAATGGTGCAAACATACACTGCATACAGACAGTTATAACCCTATCCATATTTTGTCTTCATGTTTTCATTACCTAGGACTAAAGGGCAGGATGAAGACATACATAAGCATTTGTTCTGTCTCTCAGACACATGCACACACAGACCTACCATGTTGCTGAGGATATCCATGAGCTTCTCAAATCCTTGCTCTTCCCTTAAGGTGTTGCATGCATCTTTATCAGTGGTGACATACTGCAGTGTCTTTAAAGCCAACTGCTGAATGACAGGGAAGTCCGACTTCAACAGATCCAGAAGTGGAGGGATCCCTCCCAACTCACGCACTGCCAGACGACTTTGGTGGTCCTTCATGCATACATTACAACACGGATACAAAAGTCAAAAGAGAATAATGAAACCATTTGAATTTCATCCATCTCAAGAATATATTTTACAAAACACACCGTGATGCGTTTAGTAGCTTTTAAGATACTGATAAATGTAACTTCTATTTGACTAAAATGAAAAACCTTATAACCACATAGCCTTGTAACCTCCTCTGAGTCACCTGAACCAGGTTAAAGATGATCTCTAGTGAGTTCTTGCTGACATCAGGGTCTGGACTGGATAAGAGCTGGATTAGAGGTGGCAGGCCCTTGTTGTCAAAGATCTGGGCCTTACAGACGAAATCCACTGACAGAGAGGCCAGGCACAGTGTTGCAAACTCATGGACAACTACATCTTCTTGAATAGGAAAGAAAATGACATTGTTTGTTTCTTTTATTATATCTATTTCTGAGTCTATTCATCTCGAAATCCAAATTACTCACCTTCAAGGGACAGTTTGTCAATGATTGATGGAATGACATCTATTTTATTCAGAGCAATCCTTACATCACCTTTCAATGGAAATATGAAACAAAGTTAATAACTTATTTAGTAAGCAAACCCATCAGTCTCTCAGTCTGTAAGTCAACAAAACAGTGAATTCTAGCCAGTTGACAAATCTCTAAGCACTCAATTGTCTGACAAGCACATAGATGGTCAGGACGTCAAATCAATTGTACTGTAAGCCACCAACAGGCTCAAAAGGCTCTTCTGCATTGATTTCGTTATATGTTGTCTGACACACCGTTGTTGGCCATGATGCCCAGGGCCATGAAGGCGTTGCGTCTGATCAGCTTGTTGACGTGAGTGATGAGCTGACAGAGAGGCTCCAATGCCCCCAGTCCCAGCAGGCAAACCTTGTTCTCATCTCCTAACAACAGGGGGAGACCATGAGCAGAGACATTAAGCACGGTGGCAAACAGACCTGTAAAGCATTTACTATGTGTCAGTGAAGTAGTGAAGATAAACACATTAGAAGCTAAAACAGGGGGTGTCTATAATAGTAAAATACATATAATATTATTACATGTTGATTATTTTATTTCAGCTCTTGATATATAAAATATATACTATACAAGTGGTTTATGAGCATATAATCGAATTAATTAGATGATGGATATCATGGGAAATAAGCAGGAAATAAGATAAGACATTTAGTACATTTTGTGGTTTTCAGCTGCATGTTTGCTCACAAAAAAGAGCTAATATGTAGCGTTTTTTTCCGTGGGTAGTCTACTGCACCTTTTTCTGCAAATATGTGGATCGCTTCACAGGCTTTGACTAGGATGTCCTCCTCTGGGGAGCTCAGCAGCAGCACTATTGTTGCTGGAGTTTTTCCCTCAAAGGTTAGTGGCTCAAACTGTGAGAGTGAGGAGAGAGGGAGAGATGTAAATGCGTTATCATTGATCTCGTGTCTGTCCCCGCGGGGTATGTCTTTTTTGGGCATCTTTTATAGACACGAAACAAACAAACCTAGAAACACGTTTGCTGGCTAACGTTAGGCTTTGTATACTCATACCGTTTCCTTGCATGGAGTTTCCATCTCCTTCTTCCCTTTCTTTCCCATTCTGTGACCTAGAGAGGTAAATAATCACGGATCACGGATCGTCGTTCTGCTCAATGCAATCAACCCTAAAAGCTGCAGTCATATGCTGGCTAAACGACAGAGCTAAGCTGACAGCTTATAGCTCAGTAACGTTAGACCTGTTCACAAAATACGCTTCAACAGACAAACCACGCGGATCACTATCTCAAATATTCACGAGGACTTACCTACTCTACAAGCTAAAGGACAAATCCAAAATGCTTGATTAACACGACAGCCGTCCAGAAAAGAAACAGTGTAGTGTGATGAAAGGAGGTTGACACCGCGTTGCTTGGCAACCCATGCCACGTGAGCAGAACCTTCTTATATACAGTCTATAGTTATATACAGTCTATGTAGAA